CCCCCACCCCCCAAAAAAAAAAAACCGACACAAGCAATACATAATTACTTGACCCCCAAGCCACCTCAGCCCTGTAGGAGTTAGATCCTGTTGACCTGCCCCTGCTGAAGACGTCTAGGTTCCCCGTTGGGTCATCGTATCCGTGGTCATTGCTTGATTTGGCAGATAGACACAGCCCCTTCTGGCAGATATCCCCGAAAGTACACCCATATACTGTCTCTTTATTGGTTCTGGGAACCGCGGGCGGTTGGACTGCGATGGTCTCACAAGGCTGATGCTAGATAATAATTGTGATGAAGTTCCCGTGAATTCAGTGACCGGATCTTGGGGCCTGTAAATTCGAGATAAAAGCAAAACTGACAAAAAACGTAAGACCATGTTTGCAGATATTGCCGGTATCACACATGGACTTTCTGGAACTGCTTTGTGTTGCGCAAGCCTCGTGCAGCCTCATGTTGGATAACAGGTAGGTGCTTCAGCTTCAGCTGGGTACCTATCGATGTGACCCGTTCGTAGGTAGGTATGTTTGCACTTGAGATAGATAGATAGCTCTAGGCGCCTTGTCACTTGAGCGGCGGCATCTGGAAAGCAAATCCTGAGGATTGAGGATTGCTTACAGGCTTCTCCATTCTGTATTATTATCCGCCTGCTGACATGATACTTATATGGAAGCCTCTCCATCTGACAGTGGCTGTGTTGCGTAACCTTTTTATATCCCTTTTCTTTTCCAAAATCAACACTTGTACTTTTGAATAAATCATGCTCTTTGGCTCGAAGCAAGAGATATCGATCAGGTTGATGGGTTCCCAGAGGACAACTATCGCTCCCGCCCAATTCTCAAAATAGAAGGGTAGAATTTCCCACTCGGGATAAGGATAACAATAAAAATCAGGGGTAAATGAAACAAAACCATGTGCCAAGAGGAACGATGCTCAGTGGTCCAAGACTGATGTGACCTGAGACAACAAGGTGATCATGATCTTCATCAGGCACACATTGGTTTGTGATGGGCGTTTGCTTGTTTGCATAGTGTAGAAAGACTGGACGGAAGAGTGAAGCTATCACCGACAAGCCGAGTTGTACCGAAGTATGATGGGGAGAAGGGGCTGAATGTTCAGATTGTAAGTATGTATGTAGTGTAGTGTACCAGGGAAGTCCATAATAGGTTGTCGGAAGGGGGGTGGTGGTCAAGACAGGGGTGTTATTGGTTCCGCTGCTTTCCATTTCCCTTTGAATGAGCGGCGGGTCGGAAATCATGAAGAAATCCACACACTCCCATGATTACCCCAAATTGCCCAATGAACGAATGGTCCGTGTCGGTGAGGGTGAGAATGAGGAAGAGCGAGGTCGGCAAAGCGACGATGTACACTAGGTAGTTCTTCAACCGTCCTCGCCGCCGTCGTCTTCTCGCTCCGACATTTGGGGGACTCGGTGTAAGGTACATACAGAGCAGCAAAACAGCGCAGCTCCCCTTTCCACGTGGGAATCTGGAGGCTAACGAGCGCTGTAGCTACGATCTGCTGGGGGGCTGACCTGTTCTTGGCGGAGACAGTCGTATCGACAGCGTCTAGGCCTGATACCCTGTTGTATGCGGCGGTGATGGCCTCTCGTGGTGGTGGTGGTGGTGGTGGTGGTGGTCTAGTTGTTGCGGTGGGTGGTGGTTGCGGTGAGGTGCAATCGTATTCATCTTGCCATGTCCAGAAAAAGAAGACCGGGTGGGGCAATCTGGCCGAACGGAAAATCGGAATCTCAGGAGAAGCACCACCACCTCACGATCCCATCCACGGCACTCAGCCATGGGAAGAAGACCCGGTGTTGCTGTCAAGAATGTTTCCTCTTGAGGTTTGGACTGACAACATTCTGATGTCTCGCTTACACAAGGTCAACCCGTAATTGCCCGTTTCGTGCAAGGGGCATTTCTTCTGCATCATGATCCGTCACCAAAGTCAGAACGGCCAACCACCTGCTACCATGTACACAAACCGCCTATCTCCCGGAGCACAGCATAGGCCCAGGTGTAGTTGGACTACTGCCGGTGGCGTTTCACACTTTTTTCCTGCCATGCTGTGATGTGTTGATATCAGCAAAAGCAAAAGAATATTGAAGCGCCTCGCTCCGAGTCCTTGCAAGACCTCTCCCGCCGTGGTGGTTTCCCGTCCTGCTGTCAAATTTCCCGGCCATGTCCACCAGAGAGCTCACGGTGGATCTATCGTGATCTCTCGCTGGTCCCACCATCCTGTTTTTAGCTCCCGCTGGGGCTGAGAAGAACATTAACAGCCCCTCCAAAGAAGGAAGCTATAGCCAACAAAGTCAGGAAACGCATCGGGGAGGGCCTACACTACGATGTTGGGGGTTGAAGAAGTTGGGGAGCTTTTCCTTACCCCCTAAAATGATACTCCACGAACCGGGGCATGTGGGAGATGGAGCTGAGCCGTCCCCAGTTTAACCCACGCCAGATAGTTATCGAGGTACCTTTTTTTCCGGTCAACGGTCAACACCTCGTCCTGGAGCTTTCAGGCAGGGAGGTGGGATGGGTGGATGCCCCTATTGCTTGCTACTGAGTTAGTAAGAGTTTAGGTTCTGGTTCGAAGGTCGAAAAGGGGGAAACACCAGGCAAAGTCGCAGGTTGGGCACGAAGTTAAGCCAAGCGGCTGACCAGTGATCCACCGAGTTTCGACAATGTTCTTTGAATGCTGGCCGTTTTTGAAGCAACAGCTTTGGATGCATAGGTGCAGCTTTGCCTTCGTTACCCCTGACTTGGACACTTGGCAATCCTGCCCTTCCACCTCCCATCCCCCCCAACACCCATCTTATTTCTACGGGACATGGAATAATGACCTGGCCAAAGAGCCTCAGAGTTAAAAATATGAGAGGCTCATCAAGGCAGTAGTATGTATCTTGTCAAAGAGGACCCCATTTTGCGGATTGGGTTCGGCTGCTTGGGCAGGCTGGCAGGTTCCATTCTGACGGCGATGTTGGCATGAAAGTGGAGGCGGGGTTAATAAGGTACCTGGGTGTTCCATTTGTGCCTTGCTCTCAGGCTCTCAGCTGCTCACTATAACTACCTCTACTACCTACACTAAACCCAAGTCCCCCCGCGTCTGGAAGGAAAAGAAAGATTCCGAGAGTGTCTGAGATGTCATGAATGCCCAATCGTGAAATAATAAGCAGACCAAAAACAAATTCGAGTTACACTGCAGTCCAAAGGGTTCAGTTCTCTCAAGGTAGACACAGCATCTTCAAGCAGGCAGTCCAATGACGCCACACGGTTTGGGGTCGGTTGAAGATGAGCCTGGGCCCGATCGGAGAGGGGGGGGGCCCACGGGGGGTACCTTGTGCCTTGCTCAGGTAGTAAGTAGCTCGTGTACATGGCTCCCTAACAATTTCCACCCGGTACGAGCTATTACGAGACGGGAGCTGGGTCCCGACTTTCTATGGGCCATGGCTTCCACTTGTTCCATGAACAAGATAAAAGCATCGAGATCCCCATGCCCACCCTCGAGTTCTCTGATTGTTGTTTTGCTCTATTCTTCATTCCTCTCTCTCTCTCTCTCTCTCTCTCTCTCCATCCTCTCCTGTCCCAACTACCAGTCTCACCGCGTGAGCAATAGTGTGGAAGTTTAAGCTGTAAGTTACTTACCTTACCTTACTTACGTACCTTGGATCCAAGACGGATGAGGGCAGGGGCAGCAAGGGAAGCAGCTTGAGACTGCACTTGCAGGCATTGGCTACTACCCCTCCTCCTTTTTTCCACCCCTCACCTTCCCTACCTTACCGACACCAGACACCACCTCACACACCTCCTGGCGTTGGCTGGCAGACAGGCAGGCAGGGCAGGGGAGGGAGCGAACGAACGACACAAAGCTCACCGTTCGAGTCGTTCTCCCTCCACTCCTCTGGCTGCTCTGACTGGCGAAACCCTTTCTGCAACTGCCTGGGCCGATCCTCAACGTGTCCACAGACGACGATTGAGCTGTCATTTGCAGAGACGCTAGTAGAGAAAGACTGGCGGGTCCATCTTGTTACCTATCCAGCCTGCTGCCAGCTTCCCGTCCGTCCAGTTTCGAGCCAGAGGCCCAGCCGAATCGGATCCCTACTCCTGTTGCATTAGTCGTTTGGTTTCCATATATTACGTCAAGGGCGTCTACTTAGGCTAACACCTCAAAGACATAGAAAGCGGCTTCCCTCCCATTACCTATTTATACCTACCTACCTAATCCTCCAAGACGCCCGTCACCATTTCGACCTCCTTCTTTTCCAACGTAATTCCCGACTTTGTCACCACACAATTCGACACAATGGCCCAAGCAATCAGGAGCGCCCTCCCCGACCGCCTCATGCCTTCCAACGGCGACGAGGAGTTTGCCAAGAGACACCATGGCAAGACTAGATCCCACATGGTCCGTATTGATTCTTTCACTCTGCCATCTATCCAACAAGATGACAGTCCAGGAGGAACTAACACGCCACCAGGCTTTCGAGAACACCTCCACAAGCATTGCCGCTGCCCAGATGCGCAATGCCCTCACAAAGCTTGCCGAGACGGTCAAGGACCCCGACCAGAAGAAGCTCTTCGAGACCGAGATGGACAACTTCTTCTCGCTCTTCCGCCGCTACCTGAACGACAAGGCCAAGGGCAACGAGGTGTACGTATCTTGACATGTCATGTTGCCAGACGCGCTCTTCTCGCAGACAGCTAACTAATTGTTCACAGCAACTGGGACAAGATTGCCCCTCCTGCCCCTCACCAGATCGTCGACTACGAGAGCCTCGCTAACAACAACTCGGTCGACTTCCTCAACAAGCTTGCCGTTCTCAAGCTCAACGGTGGTCTCGGTACCTCCATGGGCTGCGTCGGCCCCAAGTCCGTCATCGAGGTCCGTGATGGCATGTCCTTCCTCGACATGTCCGTCCGCCAGGTTGAGCACCTCAACCGCACCTATGGCTCCAACGTGCCCATCCTCCTCATGAACTCGTTCAACACGGATGACGACACTGCTGCCATCATCAAGAAGTACGAGGGCCACAATGTCGACATCCTCACCTTCAACCAGTCCCGCTACCCCAGAATCTACAAGGACTCCCTCCTCCCCGTCCCCAAGTCCTTTGACTCTCCTCTCCATGACTGGTACCCTCCCGGCCACGGTGACGTTTTCGAGTCTCTCTACAACTCGGGTATCCTCGACAAGCTTATTGAGCGTGGTATCGAGATCATCTTCCTGTCCAACGCCGACAACCTCGGTGCCGTCGTTGACCTCCGCATCCTCCAGCACATGGTGGAGACCGATGCCGAGTACATTATGGAGCTTACCAACAAGACCAAGGCCGACGTCAAGGGTGGTACCATTATCGACTACGAGGGCTCCGTCCGTCTCCTCGAGATCGCCCAGGTCCCCAAGGAGCACGTCAACGAGTTCAAGTCCATCAAGAAGTTCAAGTACTTCAACACCAACAACATCTGGATGAACGTCCAGGCCGTCAAGCGTGTCGTTGAGAACAACGAGCTCGAGCTCGAGATCATTCCCAACGAGAAGACCATCCCCGGCGACAAGAAGGGCGAGTCCGACATCAGCATTGTCCAGCTCGAGACCGCCGTCGGTGCCGCCATCAAGCACTTCAAGGGCGCTCACGGTGTCAACGTACCCCGTCGCCGCTTCTTGCCCGTCAAGACCTGCTCCGACCTGATGCTCGTCAAGTCGGATCTCTACACCGTCAAGCACGGCCAGCTCCAAATGAGCTCGGCCCGCTTCGGTGACGCTCCCCTCATCAAGCTCGGTAACGACTTCAAGAAGGTGTCGGACTTCCAGAAGCGCATCCCCAGCATCCCCAAGATCATTGAGCTTGACCACCTCACCATTACCGGTGCCGTCAACCTCGGCCGTGGCGTCACCCTCAAGGGTACCGTCATTATCGTGGCCACTGAGGGCCAGACCATTGACATTCCTCCCGGATCCATCCTCGAAAACGTTGTTGTCCAGGGTAGCTTGCGCCTCCTTGAGCACTAAACGGTTTTTTGGGGTTCTTGTCGTTTAATTATTAGCACGTGCCTTGTCGCTGTATGGCCTATTTTTGTGGGACGTCATCATGTCTTTTTTGCTGCACGTACATATGATTAATATACCAATGGATATGAATGGGAATTCAAATTACTCTTTTGTAATAAAATCGTCGTCTGTCCATGTAAAGGACGATGGTTTAGAAAAAGGCAAGAAGAGGAAGAAGAGGACGAAGAAGAAGAAGCATGATGGAGATGGGTGATGGCATGATGGGAATGGAGGCTAGCAGTGATTTTGGCGATAGGTACAAATACACAATGCTATTATTGCACACACACACTCTCTGTTTTTCGTTTTTCCTGAATGTGCAAATGTGATGATTTATTCCTTTCCCATCCTATTCAGATGATAACTTCATACTCATACCACACCCAACAATCTACCCTTTATCTTTGCACTCACTTCACTGCCCTCCCCCTCCTTGACTACCATTATTCCCACCACCTCCCTGGCTACTACTATTCCCCCCACCACCACTACCACCACTCCCACTCTTCTTGTTATCGCTCCTCCCCTGGCTATTGCTACTGCTGTTATTGCTGTTATTGTTGTTCATGTTGTTATTGTTGCTGTTGCTGTTGCTAGTATTGTCCCTCTCCATATTCTTGGCACAAACAGGACAATACCAAGTCCCGTTGGGCTCCGACTTTAGCCCTACACAGCTCCAGTGGAACCACTCATACGGACACTCGTCATTGTCGCACGCCACCATATCGCCGAAACTAACGTTTTGACAGAGGCAGTACTTGCGGTCGTCCCCGGCTTCTTCGTCGTCCAGGTCCATGCCATCTTCTTGATCGACATCGAGATCCATGTCGTCGTCGTCCACGTCCTCGTCGTCGTCGTCTGTGAGACCGGGGTTGTTCCGGCGGCGGTTTGAGGAGAGGGAGGGGGAGCGGTGCATTTCTTGGAGTTGATGGTGCGTTGTTGAGGAGCGGGAGCGGTTGTGGCTTGATGAAATACTTTGGGGGTGGGAGGGGTTGGCTAAGGGGCCGCCGGGGTTACGGGATTGGAAGGGACCACCGCTGCCTCCACCAGTGCCGCCGCCGCCGCCGTTGGAGGCGAGGGAGGAGGATGGGCGGTGGCCGTGGCTTGGGTGGTGAGGGTGGTTGAGGTCGTCTGCTCCTCCTTTGTGCGAGAAGGAAGAGTTGGTGTGGTGGTGGGAGGCGGAGCGGGAGTGGGAGCCACCGCCAATGGGGGTGTTGCGGCCTGTGCCGATACGACGGTGGTCGGATTCGGAGCCAGAAAGGTTGGAGTCTGCGTCTGAGAGGTCGCTGTCTCCCGTAGAGTTTGCGCGGGAGGTCGTGTTGGGACTGTTCTTCGCTCCGCTGCCACTGGTACCGGTGCCAGCGCGCTTGAGCACGCGGGAAAGATTGGATTTGTGGGAGGAGCCACCTCCAGCGCCGGAGCCAGAGACGCCGCTGGCGGAAACACCACCGGCTGAGCCACTACCGCTACCGGCAGTGGGCACGCTGCTGCCCTTCTTACGGGAGGCGGCCGAACTACCGGAGGGTACGGACTTGCGGCTGGTGCTGCTTGTAGATCCTTTGCCTATGCCGCGGGGGCCAGCGCTGCCGGCGCGTTGGACGCCGCCAGAGGTTGTGGAGGATTTGGGCGTGCCTGGACCGAGCGAAGAGTGTCGGCCTATGCCACTGGTTTGGAGGCTCAGACCACTGTTGCTGCGGACGGCGCCCTTGCGCACGGCGCCTCCGGGCCCGGCAGAGCTTTCGCGGGCGCGCTGGTTCAGTATTATGGTCGCGGCGGGCGTGGCGGGTGCTGAGGCCGAGTGATGGTGCGAGGCTTGGACGTTGCGGATCTGGTTCGATCGGGCGGCGTTGGAGCCGGTGCCGTTAGCGAGGCCGTTCAGCGCCGAGGATATGGGGTGGTTCCCGTTGACGGGCCGGAGAAGGGTCGGGGTGCTGGTGATGTTGGCGGCGCTGTCGCGGACGAGGGAGGGTAGTTCGTCGGGGTCGGTGAAACCGGGCTCGCCGCGGTCGTAGAGAGACTTGATCTGCTTGTCGAGGGCGCGGACGTGCTTGTCGAAGATATGCTGTAGTTTTCGTGTAAGTTCGAGCTTTTCCTTGGACAGCTGCTCGGCTAGGTCAAAGTTCTTGATGATGGTGGCTCTGTATTCTTCTTCCTTGGGGTTCGGCTGGAAGCTGCCGTTGGCCTTGATGAATTTCTGGATGCGCTCGTCGTTCTTTTCAATTTCCTTAACCAGCTTGTCATATTGGCGGTCCTTCTCGGCAATCTCGTCTTGCATGAAGCGAATCTCCTCGGGGAGGTTCTGGGTGTTGTGTATCCATTCGTCGAGGATCAATGCCGGGTCGAGCTCTGCGGCAGGGGGCATCTTCCTGACAAAGTCGATGGAGAGGTCGTCTCTAGGCATGATGACTGCTGTTAACTCGGCGCCCCGACGAGGCACGCTCTGGGTTCGTGGAAGAAGTCAAGAAGGATGCGCGTGTCATAAGTGAGTGGGATGGATAGGTGGCAATAGGTGTTGGATACCCCGCGATCCAGGCGCGAAGTGGGCACGAAGAAGGTAAGTAGGTAAAGGCTATTAAAGCGTGTCTAGGACAAAAAGGCGCCGAGGAGCACAGGACTAATGTGGAAGAAGAAGAAGAAGAAGAGGGCGACGACTAAAGAAACACATAGCAGAGATGGAACAACGCAGTTGTATTGTGGCCAAGCAAGTATGTAATGGTAGACAACATATGGTTAACATGAGATGGAGTGAAAAAGAATGACAAGTGAAGAGGCGATTGATGATTCGTGAGACCAAAGAAAAAAAAAAAAAATCCGAGCGGGCTTACCTTGCGACGGCAGTGTAGTGTAGTGTAGTGTACGTATCGGTATTGATACCTGTATGGAGACAGGAAGTGGGCGCGCTACCGATGAAGTAACCCCCCCTGTCAACCTGGCTGCTGGGTAACGACGGCTGCTCTGGCAGCTTCCATCCAGCGGAGATATTGGATGTGTAGAGCGCGAGGTCCAATTTCACAAGTCTTGGCCTTTGCTATGTTTGTTTGTCTGTTAAGGATGGATGGGTGAAATGGATAGTTGCTGATGCTTCAGTTGGTGGTTGGTGTAGTGGGGGAAACGGGTTGTGCTTCAGTTCCTTGTCCCGTCGTTCCCGTCGCGTCCTATGCCGGGCAGTGGGTGGGGAGACGAGGAGTGGGTGTAGATATATGTGGCGAGGGAAATGGAAAAGCAAAAAGACAAAAAGCAACAGAGTAGCAGGTAGTTGAATGACTCCAAGATGTAAGAGGAGAAAGGGAGAATAATGGAAGGACTGAAGGAGTTGAGTTTTGGCGTTGGCACACAACTTGGGTAAGTAGGTAACCACCTAGCAAGGCAAGGCTGGAATGGGAATGAATGAATGAATGAATGACCTGAATGCGTGTGTGGACTGCCCTGTTTCTTTGTTACCGGTGGTAGGTAGAGGTAAGGTAAGGTAAGTACTGTAGCCGCGTCAAACCTGTTGGATGTACATAGGTAGGCAGAGGCAGGGCACTGCACTCATGAGGTTCACAGTTCACAGTTCCTGGCGGTTGGCGGCCTTGCGGACCTGGAGGGATCACACCCACTGCAGTGGAAAAAGAACAAGGTACGTACCCTCAGTTCGTAGTTGTGACAACCAATCATGACTGCAATTCCGTCACCCACAAAACGCAACCCATGATGAGCTAACGATGTCTGGTTAGCCCATTTTGCAGGCGCAAGATCGCCACGCAAAGCAGGTGCGACAAATGCACAAAAAAAAAACGCCAGAAGAAGCACTGACACTTGCTGACAGCTCGGGACTCGGATTCCAAAGACTCCCCTCTCACACAGTCACACTGGACTGATCAGGCCGGGGTTAGTAGTGTAGTTTCTATCGAGGGACGGGGAGGGGTACGTACCAGGGGTCCACGAACCACGACTCCGTTCAGTCTTCTTGTCAAGATGGAATTCGAGATCCACGACACCGGCCGGACAGACAGGCCACAACCGCGGCATTGATTGATTGACCTCGACACGCTCTCAAAGGAAGGAACATTCAAAACACCCAACAGCGTTACAAACCAAAACCAAAGGTTACTTTCCACAGGTTGCTTCTGCGTCATTCGATCCCTCCCACATCACATCTTCCATACGCACATATCGACATACATCACCACACCTCAGTAGCATCACAGGTCTGCAGAGTTAGGTAGAGAGAGAGGCACAACAGGCGTCACCCCCAACCCATCATCTCTCGCCTCAACTCTCATTACAGACTACAGGACCTAGTATTTTACAATCACACTCACAGACCTGGCAAACACCACACACATTCTTTTACATTACGGCTTCTCACGGCATTCATAGAAGACGGCGACATCATGGACACCTTACAGTCGCTACAATGGAGGCCGCCAAAACCAAACTACCTGCCTCACGACATCGACGTCGATGAGCCCATCGTCGACGTCTACAAGCCCCCGATCCCCATGGACAAGGCCACCGACCGGGAAAACGCAGACTACTACGCCCACATGAAGCGCATGGCGCACGAATACAACATCACCCGCCCCAAGGGATACACGGTCTCGTACCACTTCAACCCCGACATGGAGCCTCACCACTTCGGCCTGACCCATCCCATGAAGCCCTTCCGCCTGACCCTCACCAAGAGCCTCGTCACCGCCTACGGCATGAACTTTGCCATGGACAACTACAACACCCGGATAGCCACGTACGAAGAGCTCAACTCGTTCCACACCAGCGACTATCTCGACTACCTGCACATGGCCCCGCCCGAGGAGATGCCCCGCGACATCGACAACCCCGACAAGGAAGTCAAGTTCAACCTCGGCGGCTCCGACTGTCCCCTCTTCCACGGCCTCTACGACTACTGTTCCATGTCGGCCGGCAGCTCCCTGGACGCCGCCCGCAAAATCTGCAACAAGCAGTCCGACATTGCCATTGCCTGGGGCGGCGGCCTTCACCACGCCAAAAAGTCCGAGGCCTCGGGCTTCTGCTACATCAACGACATTGTCATTGCCATCCTCCAGCTTCTGCGCTGCTATCCACGCGTGCTGTATATCGACATTGACGTCCATCACGGCGACGGCGTCGAGGAGGCCTTCCACAGCACAGACCGTGTCTTGACCTGTTCCTTCCACAAGTTCGCCCCCGAGGTCTTCTTCCCTGGCACCGGCGGTCTTGACGACAACGGTCCCAAGTCCGAGCACAATCCGGGTGCTCACCACGCCATCAATGTGCCCCTCAACGACGGCATTACAGACGAGCAGTATGGCCATCTCTTCCAGTCCGTCATTGGCAAGATCAACGAAAAGTTCCGTCCTTCGGTCATCGCCCTTCAGTGTGGTGCCGACTCGCTCGCCGGCGACCGCCTGGGTAGGTTTAACCTGCAAGTCCAGGGTCACGGTGCCTGCGCAAAGTTTTGCAAAACTTTTGGCATTCCCATGATCATGTTCGGCGGCGGTGGCTACACTCCTCGCAATGTCGCCCGCGCATGGGCCTACGAGACATCAGTGGCCATCGACGTTGACGAAAAGATCAACAAGATTATTCCCGAGCACACTCCCTGGCGGAAGCACTTTGTCCAGGAGGAGCTCTTCCCCTCGCTAGAGCAGATCCTGGGTGAACCGCGTGCGAATCGGAACTCGCAGAAGCGCCTACAGGAAATCATTCAGCACGTGCACGAGCAGTTGCGCTTCGTCAACGCCGCCCCCAGCGTGCAGCAGCAGGTGATCCCGCCAGACTTGGGCGGCATCCGGGACGATGTCGAGGACCGCCTCAAAGAGGAAAGCGAGGAGCGGGATGAAGGGCTCAGACGGGACAGGGAGGAAGGTTTGGGTATCAGTGGCGAGTTTTAGTGCAATTTACGCGGCGGCGGACGTTCCGACTTTGATCCCGACTCTGAAGCTCCCAATGATGTTCCTGATGATCCCCCACCATATCAAGAAACCACAACGGCCTCCCCCAATCCGAATAACGCTCCAGCATCAGCAGCATCCTCGACACCACCGCTACGGCCTCCTCCCGGTTTCGCCCAAGGCCTCACAGCACCCTCGTCGACAGCAGCCTCGTCGACAGCACCCCCGCATCGGCCTGTCCCGTGGTGGCAAAAGGTGGACGCCCAAGATTTTGAACAAAATCCCGACCGAGCAATATTCGCTGCCCTCGAAGAAGTATGTGAAAGGAGAAACGGAGGGTTGATAACCGGAAAACAATTTGTCGATGAATGCACTCGGTTAAATCGCATTCGCACTGTTCTGAAAACTGGTCGGATTTCGGAAGCGAGCGGCCCGATGACTCCAGAAGAATCTCAATCCGCGCAGAAACTCTTAGAGTGGTGGAATAACTTTGCAGTCTTAGCAAAGGCCAAACAACACGCAAAAGAGCTACAAGATCTGCGGAAAGGAGGGACAGCGCGCCCGACACCAGACACGGCACCGCCTCCCAGGTTCTGGGATCAAGTAAACCCCCTGGATTTTGAGAAAGACCCCGACCGTGCACTGACCCTTATCCTCGGCGAATTGCGCAAACAAAGGGAGCAAGGGCAGCTGACCCAGGAAGACCTGGCCGGAACTCACGCCGAGGTGAAACGCATTCGGATGGTTTTGAGAACCGGTCGCATTTCGGAATATATTGGCCCCATGACAGCAGAGGAGTCCATGCAGGTGCAGACAGCTTTAGACGATTGGAAACAGTTGGCAGCCTATGCAGAGAGCCTCCAGCAGAATTTGCAGAAAGCACAGAAAAGGACTCAGGAAGCTGGGAAAGCTGCGCAGAGTGCGGCACCTGAGAGCCCACGTGGAAGAGCCGAGAGTACTGTGGATTTGGAAAAGACCCCGGAAGCTGTGGAAGAAGAGGATGAGGAAGTGAATGAGTGGGTAGGGAGACAGCAGCACTTCCGGCAGTATATGCGTCAACGTGCGGCACTTTTGAACCTCGATAATAGTTCATCAATGCAGTATCCCATCCGGGTGCACGCCCAGTTACTATAGGATTGGTTTCATGGACAGGTGAAAATGCAAACTGATTTGGAGGCTTTGCAAAGGAACTACAGGGCTGTGGTGGCAGCTTTACGACAGACGGGGGTAGATGTGGCGGTGCAGGAGTGGAAGAAGGAAAACGATAAAGGGGCAGTTGAGCAGCGTACCGAAGACCAGCAGTTCACAGAATGGGTTGAAAGACTCGGTGGTAGTTTACCAGCGAAGGTGATTGAGGGGAATGTTCATGTGATGGAGGTGGATCCCAAGAAAGCAGAGGATTTTTTACAGGGACAGGTGGATCTGGAAAATTCCATAATGGTATTGAAAAGAGAATACAAAGCTACGACGGCATATTTACGAATGAGGGGGGTAGATGTGATGGCGCAGGAGGTGAAGAATGAAGACGAGGAGGAGGACGGAGAGAAGAGCAAAAAGAAGAGGAGGTCTAAAAGGAAGCCCAAAAAGAAGAAGAAGAAGACGACCGACGGGAATGCGCAGGAGTATCTAGACGTTGAGCAGATTAGAAATCTTGAGGATGGACAAGATGACAAGAAGGATGAACAGGACGATGACAACAAAAAGGATGAGCAAGACGACACCGACGAGAAGGATGAAGACGGACAGGCGAACGTGGATGAAAAGGATAAGGACGAGATAGATTCAGAGGAAAACAGCGACGAGTATAACACGGCCGCCGAAGAACAATCGCCGCCGTCAAAGAGGAGCAAGAACAATAACGCCAAGAGAAAGAGGAGGAAGGAAAGGAAGCAAAAGGCAGAGCAGGCGGCGAAGGAGAAGGCAGAGCGGGAAGCATGGGAGAAAAAGAAGCAAGAGGCGAAGGAGAGAAAGGAGCAACAAGCGAGGGAAAAAGAGGAGAGAGAGGCGAGAGAGAGGGAGGAGCAAAAGAAGAGGGAAGAGGATGCTCAGAAAGCGGCGAGGGAAAAGGAAGCCAGGGAAAAGGAAGCCAGGGAAAAGGCAGCGAAAGAGAAAGAAGCCAGAGAAAAAGAAGCCAGAGAAAAAGAAGCCAGAGAAAAAGAAGCCAGAGAAAAGGAAGCCAGAGAAAAAGCAGCCAGAGAAAAAGCAGCCAGGGAAAAAGCAGCCAGAGAGAAAGAAGCCAGAGAAAAAGAAGCCAGGGAAAAAGCGGCAAGAGAAAAAGCGGCAAGAGAAAAGGAAGAGAAAGCTACGAAGGAAAAAGCGGCGAGAGAAAAAGAAGCCAGGGAAGAGGAAGCCAGAGAAAAGGCGGCAAAGGAAAGGGAAGAGAAAGTGGTGAGGGGGAAGGAGGCCCAGAAAGTGAGGGAACAGCATGTACAGGAGGCGAGGGAGCGGAAGAAGCTGGACGAGGTAATCGTAGTCGAGGAGGTGAACGAGGACGACGTTGAACAAAAAGACGAGGTGAAGGAAGAGGCTGACAAAAATCCAATGCCATCTCAGGGACCGATGCCGTCGCAACGACAGATGCCGGGCCCGGGACCGATGCTAGGGCAGCAAAATCCACCTCCGCTGGGACTGGAACCGATACCACAGCAGGGACAGATTCCGTGGGAAGGACACATGTGGTGGCAGAGAAAGATACCAAGCCAGATGCCGCAACAGACACAGGTTCCTTGGCAGTGGCAGATGTCGCAGCAGACACAGGTTCCTTGGCAGATGCAGATGCCATTGCAGGGACAGATGCCATACCAGAACCCTATGCCACCACAAAATCCCATGGCACACCAGAAATCCATCCCAGAACAGAATCCCATCCCACACCAGAACCTCATCCCATACCAGAATCCCTCGCCGATGCCACCACAGACTCCGATGCCACCACAGACTCCGATGCCACACCAGAATCCGATGCCTCACCAAAATTCGATGCCTCACCCGAATCGTATCCTACACCAGAATTCCTGGCCGATGCCACCACAGAATCCGATGTCTCACCAAGAATCGATGCCACAAGGGCAGATGCCGTCGCAAGAGCAAATGCCAGCAGAGCCACGCGTATTCCCGCCGCCGCCCGTGCTAAATATTGTACCCAACTTGGTCGAACTCACCGCGGAACAACTAGAGATCCACGCCCGTCTCTTGGTCCGCACCGGTTTCTTCTGGATGCACTCTGCGCTCTCAGATGATAACAACAGCACTGCCAACTTGTCTGAGCACTCGAAGCAGCAAGTCGTCGCCAGGTTCAAGGCGCTCGTCTTGCAGCTCATGAACGACCTGACCCTCCCCCCTCCTCCTCAACAACAAAAGCAACAGCAACAACAACAACAACCGGAGCGAAAGTAGCACTTGCCTCAGGTTTCCAAGGAGGAGGAGGCTCGTCGACCGTGGAGGAGTGAGTCGTTTCCTTCTTACTTTCTGGACAGGGATTGGAACGTTACTTGGCCAGATGGAGACAAGCCCCAGACTCGAGAGACGCAATGGACGCAGCAAGGAGAAGAAGAAGAACGCCCGACTGTACGGTTTTACCGACCAGTGGCTAAGGAGGATAATAATAAGCTGGACCGGACGTGATAAGAAGGGAATTGGGATTGGTTTTTTTTTTTGTTGTTTGGGGATTTATATAGTATTTGTTTGCAACGAACTTGGGAAGCGTAAACAGAGTTGATTCTTGACCAGCGGTTATGAGTCTGATCGTGTAGGTTTCGTTGGGATCGTATTGTCAGGTTAGGTTAGGTTAAGTAGTAAGGACAGTTGAATAAATGGTCAGCCTGGACTACCTACCTATGTCATCCAAGAAAAGCACAAATAAACTCTCTTTCTACATGGAATAACCACGACGTGAAGCGTAATTTGGCGAAGAAAAAGACTAACACGTGTGGGTGATGGTAAAAAGGAAAACAACTTCAGTTTCCCTTCCGCCACTTCCTCTCCTGAATTACCCAGGAAAGAACTGAAGTGTCAACAACACCACCACCACCACTATCACCACCATCATCACCTACTAGAAATCAGGCACCTAATACAAGAACCTCTAGAATAGAATTATAAGTACCTAGGTAAGTCCTACAAAATGAAAATTAGTAGTACAAAGTCATGTTATTATAAGCAAGCAAGCAAGCCTTGAAGAGCGCCCGCCGGGCTTCCGTTAAGTGGAAACCCCCCCCCCCCTAGGTGCCCAGAAACATTTACTAGGTGTACTTACTTAATACCGCGAGAAAGACTGTCAAACTAGGTACCCAAGTATATAAACTTTATGGCTCACACAAAAAAGGTGTTGTAGAACTTTATCTACTACCTACCTAGGTAGACTACCTAGGTAGTACGTATAATATCTCGCGAGCAGTGAAACTTTATAAATACCTACCTTGCGTAGGGATAGAAAGCGTAATAGATGTCACAGGGCAAATGCTGCGACATTGTTGTCCTAGCCTACATAGTAATACATTCCGATGTTTGTTAGCAAGCGGACATCGTCCTCCCTTTTGTAGGCTAGGTTTTAGCTCGGTGGCTAAAATGCATTACCGCTCCATTCCAATATAACATTTTCAAACTCTACTATATTTCTTTCCAATTTTATCTTGTGCGTTTTTTATTTATTTCTGGTCTATTAGGTCTTGGTAGATGCTTTTGATTGCTTTAGTAGATAGCTACCTAGGTAGGTAGGTAGGTAGGTAGGTAGGTAGGTAGGTAGGTAGGCCAAATTTCACCTATAATAAGAACAGATTTATGGATGGAACGGAAACAATATACCTACCTCTACAGTAGGTACTTTGGTAGGTAGGCAAGAAACGAAGTGACCTTCCGTCAATGTCCCCCTGACGAACTTCAGACACAAGCTGCATCGCACTGTAACATATCTCGAAGACAACAAACAATACAAACAGACACTAACTAGTATGAGGCGGTGGAATAAGAATAAGAAAATGTGGTATATAGGTAGGTAAGTATAAAAGAAGTTGAGTATCTCAAAACAAAACATGCCGACAGATCGTCTTATAATTGGATAAAATAGAACAAAATAGAACAGAAGAAAAAAAAAAATAGCCTATCACGACGCTTCCTCCTCGCTATATCCAAGATATCAAACAGCAACAGCAACATCCATCCATCCTCCTACCCGTCCAACATCCTCACCCCCCTCACCTAATCCCTAAACTCAGATACCCACCCCCAAGACAAAAACTAATGCCCATACTCCAAATGCGGCACAATCACTGGCCCATACTTGGTCGTGGCCGTAAACGCCCCATCGCCCTGCACCACAAAATCCACCGCCAGACTGAGTTTATTCAGTCCACTGCCGTTAGACCCTCCACTATGCACACTCGCCGCATACCCAGTTTGTTGTCCCCCCATGCCCATCCCCATATTGACCCCCGCATCCGGGTCATAAGCCACAATCGCAACGTAATTCCTCCGCGCCATGAGTTTCTTGTACTCCCTTGCTGCGCCGCTCGCATCGGTATGGAAGATCTCCATCATGTCTTCCTTGGTGTCGGAGACTTCGTGGGTGGATTTGTGCCCGTTTAGAGGCACGTAGAGTAGTTTGTTGGAGTTGGAGCCGGAGTGGAGGGCCTTGAGTAGATAAGAAGAGCACGGGGCGGCGACGATGGGGGAAGTGATGAGTTGGTACATGGTTTTGTGGTCGGAGGGGTGTGAGGGGTCGTGAAGGAGGCCGGCGCCGGCGGAGTTGACGTCTGTTTCATTCATGTTAGTTATCAAGTGCATGACATGGGAGGGGGAGGGAAATAGAAAAGAATACATACCACCAGACAAAAACGTCATCCTGATCCCCTTCTGCTGCGCAATCCCCTGTAGCGTTCGAATCAAATACGTCCTCTCCAGATCCTTGCTCTCATGCGTCCACAAGTCTTTCAGCTCCTCCGCGATGTCGATCTCGCCAAACTGATTCAGCACATTACCCATCAGTCCGCTCTTGCCCACCGCCCTCTTTACTTCCTTGAATCCATGCGCCACAACCTCCTTTCCTCCCACCACACCGGCCACCGAGCTCGTCACTTTACCCAGCAAGTTATATGTCGTGTTAACCGCCTTCTTGCCCGTCGCAAACGTATTCGCCAGCGTCTCGACGGTTTCCAACCGTGGGTAGACCACGGGCACAGATAACATCCAGATACAATGCTGCACGCTAGGCGGTAACATGGCCACCTTGGGGAATAGACCTTGGTACGTGGGACCAGCCATCACGCGCGTCTGCGTGCGTTCAGAGCGGCAGTCAGGTCCTACCACCACGACGGCAGGACCGAGGTATTTGACGAAATGCCAGCCGGCGCCGGTGATGGTGAAGAGGTCCATATCCGAGCTGACATTGCGCAGCATTTCGACGGTGGTGTGGTGCTGGAATAGGAGGTACATATCAATCGCAATCCGCCCGATATTCTTGAAAATCGCCGATGACTGCATGTACTCCGGGTAGGAACCAAACCCATCAAAGATATCGTGATCATCGATCTGCAAGACATGCGGAATCTGCGCAAACGCCTCGCGCATAAACGGCTGATCAAAGTGGCTCGTGTAGTAGTGGAAGTAAGCATGCGTGACATCCTCTTCGTGTCTTGCCGTCCAGGGGACATTTTTGCGGTTCTCTCTCCCGGCGATAGCAAGCCATTGCTTGAGGATAGGTACCTCGCGCCAGAGCCGATCACCATAAATCTGGTCGCCCAGACCCAGCTGGACATGAAAGCCGCCGCACTCGACGTTCTTCTGCAGGATATCCTTCCACATGAATCCCACGCCGCCCAGCTTTGCGCGCTCGTTCTGGTTCGTCGACGGAGCAAAGTCATTACCCGAATGCGCAATCATCCGCCACCCGGTCTCATACCGCCCTGCAACGATGAACTCGTAACGCGTGCACCCCAAGTGCGAGGTGACGGCGTAGGTCCAGCGCTCGGTGCCGTGCTCGGACATTTGCAAGTCCATGTCGTACTTGTAAAACACCCAGCGCTGGTGCGTCCATATGTTATGCGGGATCAGCTGGCGCGGGTTCGGGGAGAGGTCGACGCTGAGGTGGATGTGGATGGTGGGCGGTTGGGGCGCGTCCGTCACGATCAGGATGCTACCGTGCCAGACGCCATTCTCCAAGTCCATGTTGACGTAGCGCAGGTAGGGGCCAAAGTAGACGCCGTTGGTGGGCATGATTTTGTACATGTCTACGCCGGCGCTGGGGGGTGGGCCAGTGAAGCCGGAGGGTGCGGCGGAGGCGACGGTCATGATGCTCTCGGCATAGCCGGGGGTCTGGGGGTGGAACATGGGAGAAGCCAAGCCGGTCTTGCCCCCGAGAAGAGGCGAGGCAAGAGGGTTGCCGTAGGTTGACGCCGTGGGAGACAAGGGCGCCGCCTCGTGGTTGATGGGGTTGGGGCCCTTGGGGAACTCCCACTGCGTGGCTTGTGTGGCCAAGTGGATGTAATAATATTGACCCGAGTTTTGATCAAGATGGGCAATCCAGCCCTCCGGCAACGGCGGCGGTGCCTGGGTGGAAGCCATGAGAGACGGCGTGTGTTGCAGGGCCGGATGTCCGACATTGTGGGCAACCTGAGCCGGGTGCTGGGGCTCATTGGCGAAGGCCGGGTGTCCGGGATGCTGTTGTGCTGGAGTTTGAGAAGCAGCCACGGCAACGGGCTTGGGCTTGTGGATGGATGAAGCCGGAGCCGGAGAGGCAGTATTAACTGGCCGGCTACTAGTGCCAGATGCAGTTGTTGCTGGACGAGATGTTGGATTCGGAGTGGCGTTATTGTAGTTGCTGTTGTTGTTGCTGCTGTTGTTGTTGGTGGTGGTGGCAGTGGCCGGATGTGTCTGGGCCGGCCGTTGTTTCTCGGCTGGGTAGTTCGAAGAAGCATTCGGAGTGACACTGCTATAGGCCGGCGGAGGAGTAGAAGCCTGCATGCGTTGGAAGTCCTGCTCCAGAACGCTCACTTGGAGGCTAGATCCAGCCGGCGCATTGCTCACAGGCTCGGGGTTCTTGGGAAGGTTGAAGCTATTCTGCTGTTGGGGCTGGGGCCTCGCTGGCTGAGGATTCTGAGCGACGGCATCGCCTTGGTAGACGGTAGGGGGCCCGAACGGTTGCTGGTCCGGAGTCTCGGTCGGAGTCCAAGGCCGAGGTGGTTGCGCCTGGGCTTGCGTTTGCTGCTGCTGGGACTGAGCGAGCGCGGGATGCTGGCTATGCTGTTGTGGTTGAGATGGAGGTCTCTGTCCACCATATTGCGCCAGACGCGACTGGGCCGCCGCACTTTGCGCAGTTTGTGCCTGGAGACTCGTGAGGGTTGCGGTCCCCGAAATGCCAGCAGCGGCATAGCGAGCCTCGATTCCGCCTCCTGGAACCACACCCGGCTCAACAATGGGCGTCTCGGGAGGAGGAGGCGACCCACGGCTGGCCCGCGTGGTCGAAGTGGAAGCCGTTGAAGAGATACGGGCAATGCTGGGCTCCGAGTTCATGCGAACGTTGCCACCTCCGGGAGGAGGGTAGTAAGGCTTTTGCTGATAGGCATTGGAGATTCTCTGCGCAGGATGAACAGGCTGCGGGGCTGGCTGCTGGGGAGGCCGACCCAAGGGCTTCGCAAACAGGTCATCCCCATTGGGACTATCGGGACTCTGTAGAGGCTTGGGGACAGCTCCGCGTCTGTCGGCCAACCCTGGCTTCTTCTCAATGGGACTTATGTTCAACCGTGGAGTGGTATCGTTGTGTAGCTGGGGGCTCGAGGAGACCGGAGGGGGGCTATAGATGCGCCCAGTGCTGGAGGCGGGAGAAGGCCTGCGCACGTCATCGACGGGGTATGGGGCTCGGGCTGGCTTGGAGGCCTGTGTAGGTCGAGAGAGGTCGTCGTCCGGGTACGGGAGAGGGGCGGCCGAACTCGAAGCTCCGGGCGGGAGAGGGAAGGATGGCAGCGGAGGCAGGCCCGGGAGGCCGGGTAAAGGGGCGACGGACGGCTTGGAAGCTGAGGCTGACGCGGCCGACGATGTTGGCGGGGCGGGGTACTTGTAGCGGTTCTCAGATGCCTTGTCGGCGGCACCGGGCGGTTTCGGGCTCATGGGCTTGAAGATTCTCAGAGGTTCAACGGTGGGACTATCGCAATCCTCATCCGAAGGGCGAGGCCTGCTGATGAAGAGTTCCTCATCAGGAACACCGCGGGATCGAGACATGTTGACGGATGGATATATCTGGCAAGGAGTGGTGGTTATTTTTGGGAGAGCGGCTATGCGCAACAACGGACTGGCGTTGTTTCGGAGTGTGTCGAAGGATTCGGGTAGACAAACGGTCTCTTGTCACTCTTGATCGAGCGTGGATTATTTCCGGATATGCGTTTGGAGTTCTCGAAGGGGTTCGTGATTACCCCTCCTTGGTGTTGAAGATGGTGATGATCGGAAAAAGAAAACTGAGACCGAAGAAGAAGATCAACACAGTAACAACGACAACCTCTTGCGCTCAACCTGTCACAACCGAGTCGCTTTTCCAACTGAAGCAAGCCAAACCAAGACAAAAAAGTGACTTGAAGATGGACTTTTTGAAACAAAAGCGTCGTGTATCAGAAAAAAAAAGAAGGGCCAGACCGGGAACAAGGTGATCAATATGCGGCCATATGTGCAGGCCACACTACACTAGGTGACTGGCACATGGGCGGCGCCAGGCACTTCCCTTTGCTTGATGGAGAAACAGACCAGGGGCAAAGGGTCACCTAGACTGAGGGAAAGTCAGGCTTCAACCCAGTTGGTTGAGGGCGGCGTGGGCGGCAGTCGGGCTCGCTTGTCGTGTATAAAGTGCTTGACGAGGGAGTTGGGCATCCCATTGGGGCAACAAGACAAGCTGTGATTGGCCTCGGATGGCCTCCCATGGCAGCGCTTATGAGTCTGGAGATGGGGGCTTGATTGGACGAGAACGGTTGCAAGCGCCCACCAAGCTCACCCTGTCAGGATCCTCTCGGGCTGTTCATGCTCAGGCCTCGTCAAAGAGGTTTCTGTCACAGGCGTCAGAGGACTCCGACCATTTGCTGGTGAACCCATGATGCAATCTCGTGAGACCCATCTGTCTTTGAGTTGATAGAAGAACAACACGCGTCTTGTGGTATCCTGGGGGAGATGAGCTGTGGATGAAGAAGTCCCCCCGCAGTTTGTTTTTTGATCACTGATTAGATGGCGGGGCACCCCGGGCTGTCCTGGTCATAGCGCCTAAACAATGGGCCAGGGGCAGGGGAGTTGTTATAGTGTAGGTACTCTCTTCACTCTCTTCTCCGTTCCAACAAGAGATAATTTGGCGTTTCATTGTTTCTGAAAGAGAACAAGTTGTATGTACATGATGTTTGTACTGGGTTAGGTTCACATTGGATGCCGGTGCATGTGACGACTGTGATGAGTGCTACAGTTGCTTCCACCGACTTGAGCTGAAGCCCCAAGATGCTCCTCAAATTACTTGTCAATTTTCATCTGGCATCTGGTGAAGATGATTTCTGATGTACCCTTCAAGCAGTCAACTTGTCAACTTGCAATATTTGAGACAATCCATCGATGCCGTCTCATCACCTTCAGTTCCTTTTTTCACCTGCTGTGTTCCAAAACATGAACTCGGCTCAGCCAACGGGGAGCGGGGCCGGCCGGGAAGTCCCACTCTGGTTCCACCCAGTTTCCATTTTGCTTGCGCCATTCCTGCAGCCGCAGCTTCGTTCCCGTTCCCCGTCTGCAGTGTCTGGCCAAGTCCAAGTCCAGGCTTCACAAGCACAAAGCACAAAGAACACCAAAACACCGAATTCGGGATCGTGATACCTCTATTTATCAAAATTCAACCCGGCCGTTCTCGACTCTTAAAGTTGCCCATTCTTGAGCTGCCAAATCCTTCACATACACTGGTCGACGAGAATATGTTTTCGAATCCAAGCAAACAGGTTTCTTCTTCTTGGATGAACACATACGCAGCAGACCAGAGTTCCTGCAGTGGTGAGTTGCGGTGCATGTGCAATGGTGGCTCGAATGACATGCCCAGACGGTAGGCATGGCCACGGCCTGGATTTCCCAGCGGGGTTGTTGGACGCTACACTGGATTCGAGCAATCACCTGACGTACGTCCAACAACATGTCCAGGGCATTATGCTGCATGACTTCAATTTCTCCCGAACAGACATTTACACTGCTTATTCAAAATACCAACGATCAGGCAGTACACATGTACAAACCCCAGATTCCTGTCCTCCACGAAAAGGGATTTGTCAATTGACTTTCACTTACAGTCTTTTGTTTGGTTCGTGAGAAGAGAGGCTGGTTGGTAGGTGGTGAGTGAGAGCTGAGGAGACGTCAAGTGACCGAACAAGACGGCAAGGTCGAGTTCCATTGTAGGTATGCGTGTACTTATGTGTCAAAGGATCTTGATTCTCTCAACCACAGCCACCCTGTTGAACATGATCTAGTTTCCTGTTTCGCTTCCAGTTTTGCTCTGCTTCAATTCCATCGATATCTCCTACATCTTGACCTCTCTCTATATTTCTCAAGATAAGGTAGGTAGGAAATAGCTTCCTTTTCTGTCTGGCCTATCTCCCACCCGCGGACATCCTGCAACCTCAACGACGTCACTTCTTGTCCTATTCGGCCGCGATCAACGCCGAGCTAGGCCGGTGCCGGCCTTTAAGTTTTCAAAAACATCATCTTCCCCTCCTCAAGTTCTGGGTTACCCTCGTCTTTTCATCACTCGTCCTCTTCCTCTCCTACTTCATCGTGGCCGTGTACAAGGGAACCGTGAGACCCTCGAGCCCTCCAGCTCCACCGTCTCTCTTCCTCTGTTCCCTTCTACCGTCTTCGTCATGTCTCTAAACCGTGTCTCCTCGTTGGAGACCTTTGCTCCCCTCCTCATAGAGAACCGATCCAGGCGAAGCTCGGATGCCTCGACTCGAGCTCGCAAAATCAGCTTCAACCCTCTCCCGTCATCATGGGATCCTCCAGCTTTGGAACAGATCCAGGCCGTAGGTGCCTTTGAAGTCCCCAGGTGGAAGAGAACACGTACGTCATTTTCAACCCCCAACAGTGTATTCAACCATGTGATACTATACTGACCAAATATATGTCTCTTCTTCTCCTCCATATAGTCCAAGTCGTAGTCGCCGTCATATACTGCCTCTTTGCCGCCGGAATCGTTTTTGGCTATGCCGCCATCAAGCCCGTCCTAAAACGAGAGGGTGCCTACCGAGACGTCTGCCGCGTCGACCCCAACGACGAGGACGCCATCGGCGAGGACACATGCGTTGAGATCCACCTAAACTTCATGTTCACCGCGGCCGCCGTCGCCACCAACGTTGCTGCCCTTCCCATTGGCGCCATCCTCGATCGATATGGTCCCCGTGTCTGCGGCCTGCTGGGAGCCTTGTGCCTCGCCATCGGTGCCCTATGCATGTCCTTCGAGAACCAACTACCCTTTGACGGCCTGCTCATCGGATACCTCTTCCTGGCCCTCGGTGGACCCTTCACCTATATCTCGTCCTTCCAGCTATCCAACGCTTTCCCCAAGAACTCTGGCCTGATTCTCGCCCTCTTGACGGGCGCCTTCGACGCTTCCAGCGCTCTGTTTCTAGTATACCGCATCATCTACGAACAGACCAACGAAACCTTTGGCCACCAGAGTTTCTTCCTCGCCTACCTGGTCGTCCCCGCCGCCATCGCCGTCGTTCAACTCGTCCTGATGCCGGCACAATCCTACAAGACCGTCGGTGAACTAGTGGAGGAAATTGAGGAGCCCATCCCCGCCGACATGGAACCCTACGACGACCAGATCGACGAGGAGACTGCCTTGCTTCACGAAGAGGAGAGACAGCATCGCGCTGAGGTGGTCTCAGGTATCCAGGAGTTGCTCGGAACCACCAAGGCGGACAAGCAGGCCAGGAAGGAAGAGCGCAAAAATGAGATTTCGGGCGTGTGGGGTGTCATGCATGCTTATACCGCCTGGGAGCAGATCAAGTCACCTTGGTTTCTTCTTATTTGCTTGTTCACCGGTACGTTTTTGTTTCCTCCCCCCTCATCTCATCTGATTTCCCTACTAATCGAGTTACACAAAGTCATCCAAATGACCCGCATCAACTACTTCGTCGCCACCATCCGCGTGCAATACACCTACCTCCTCTCTTCCCCTGCCCTCGCCGAGCGCGTAAACGACTTTTTCGACCTCGCCCTCCCTCTCGGCGGCATCTTATCCATCCCCTTCATCGGCGCCATCCTCGACCGCACCTCCACCCTGACCGTGTTGGTAACCCTCGTCGCAACCGCCACCACTATCGGCATCTTGGGAATCATCCCCCACTCGCTGCTCGCCGCTTACGCCAACGTCTGCCTCTTTGTCCTGTACCGTCCCTTCTACTACACCGCCGTATCCGACTACAGCGCCAAAGTCTTTGGGTTTAGGACCTTTGGCAAAGTGTACGGGACCATTATTTGTCTTGCTGGTCTGTTTAATTTCAGTCAGTCCGGTCTGGATTACCTCTTGCATGAGACTTTTAACGGGGATCCGGTCCCCGTCAATGTCGGGCTGATGGCCGCGGGACTGTTGATTGGTGTGGTGATGGTCATGTTTGTCGGGGTGCAGTCGAGGGGGATCAAGAGGAAGTTGTTGGAGGAGGAGGCGAGAGGGGCGTTTGCTTATGGGGGGAATGGGACGGGTACGACGAGTACGAGGGAGTGGAGTGCGAACTGAACTGGACTGAACTGGACTGCTCTCGTCCTATACCCAAAAGGGAGAAACAGGAAGGGAAAAAAAAATGCAGAGAAGATGGCGTCTCTCAATGAATGGAAGAATGAAGACTTCAATCAAGTCAATTTGACAAGGGCTGGAAAAAAAAAAAAAAAAAAAAACCAAGAAAAGAAGGATGGACGACGAAATGAAAGCAGTTTTCTAACTGCACATGGTATGTTTATGACGAACGAACAACGGCCCGCAAGAAAAAAGGTGGATTCGAAGGGAGGAAACTTAAGGTATGGGAACGGAAATATGCATGCCCGGATATGTGTTGTGTTACGGCTTACATGGTTTCTTTTGCATGATATTAGATACACAGCTAGCCAGTCAGCCGGGCGCTTTGGGAAAACGGAGTTTATGCTCTTTTTCATTTCTTTTCTTTTGTCTTTTTCCCTTTCTCTGTGCATTTGGTAGCTACATAGCATTCAAGGCATTTGTTTCTATAATATACCTCTTTTTTTTTTATCAGCTCATCTTTCAAGCAAAGAATGATAATCGAAAACTTAATAGTTAGGGGGAGGGGTGTTTACTTGATTGGTCGGTGTTCAAGTGTTGCTGAAGGGTTTCTGGAGGGTTGCCAAAGTGTTGTTGAAGTATGACTGAAGTATTATTATAGTGTTGCTAAAGTCAGAGGTGTTTCTGAAGGGTTTGTATAGCATTGATGAAGTGTTGTCGAAGTATCAAAGTGATGAAGTATTGCCGAAGTGTTGGTAAAGTGTTGCTACACAATTACCAGAGTTACCAAACTGTTGCTGAACTATTACTAAACTGTTTCTAAACTGTTGCTCAACTGTTCCTCAACTGTTCCTCAACTGTTCTCAATTAGTGTTTCTGAACTGTTTCTAAAGTGTTGCTGCACTGTTTCTAAAGTGTTGCTGCACTGTTACCAAAGAGTTGCCAAAGAGTTACCAAACTGTTGCTCAACTGTTTGCTCAAAGTGTTGTGCTCCTAGAATCTAGCAAAGCAAAAAGGGGGTTAAAACGATGAAAATGAAGATTGGATAGATGGATAAAAGACTGACTCGATGTAACATCGATTACTACTAGTGATCCCAACAGCAGCAGCAGCAGCAGCATCACGGTTGTGAGTAGTAGTAGCATCTCGATAGCTTAGCATCTAGATAGTAAGCAGCTACGGAAGCCTATATTGTCATCTTTAGTTATATACTATGTTTCCAAGTTGTTGGTTCGTACTAGCATGGGAGAAGAAAAAAGAAAAGAAGGAGAGAAAGAGATAAAGAGGGAAAGAAAAAGAAAAAAGAGAAGAAGAGGAAAAGAGAAAAAGAGAAAAGGAGAAAAGGAAGGGAAGGACACTTTCAGTCTGACAAACTTTGAGTCAGTTTTCTACTTGTCTCTCTTTTTTGTTGAGCCAGCCTAGGCGTTAGTAATTGAAAACGGTCCGAGAGGAAGAGTGAGTTATTTACTCTACTTCATGTCATTTGTGTGTGATTCACTAGTTCCTGGTCATGACCAAGATGAGATATATGCTGTGTGACTGAGGCCATAATACGAAAAATGATTACAGTCGAATTGACATTGGAGAAGGTTACCAACAATGTCTGCTCTGATTAGATGACGAAGGGCCGTATACTGCGAAAAAAAAAAAAAAATGTATGGGAGATATCAGATCCATGTCAGAGCGCACAGAGCCCAATTATCAACTTCAACTTAGTCGTTATGCAAACTCGATATCGCAACTACAACTTTATATCGGTCCGTTCAACCAATGACGACTTACACATATGCCGATGTTGTCTCCCGGCTTGAACTCTGTGACCTAGACCCAGCCTCGGCAAAGCCCGTCCGATTGAGGAGGAGGGTTGAGACATGAATAATGCAGGTCATCTCTTCTGGAAGTTTTGGGGTTACTGATACCTTACCCGACTTTGTGTTTCTAAACAGCTTGTATGTGCTGGGTATCACTGACAAGTGTCTATCGATCTTTTGTCAGGTTTCAAGCACTGACTAGGACCTGTAGTCAAGGTTGGGTTCAGTTTCCATCTGGACTTCCGCATTTTTACGACCAAGGCTTTCGGATAACAGATCGGATGACAGAATGCAAAAAAAAACCTAATGAGCCAATTTGCCTATCATCGGATCAATACGCTTATTTCAACCTCAAGAAATCTTTCAGGTTTACAGATGCCCGATCGGATCTGACGTTGAGGGACATGAACATGTAGCCGTGTTGTACTCATCCATGACTGCAGTGGCTTCTTGCTGCTTACGATAACAGGTAACTTCGAGGAAGTGATAGCGAGACGAAGAGTCCGCGATAAGCATTGGATAGGAGGGAATTTAGTGTAGATGGGGCAATTTGAGGAGGGGGGGTTTTTCTCGCCAGTACTAACTCTGCACCATGTCGAGAAACACACCATCAAGAAAGCATGTTCTTTTTGCCTTCTGGGTGACTTCTGATGACCAGTGACTTGATGATGTCGCCTCCTCTGTACACGTGTGGACTCGCTGTTGGGCTTTTTGGCGTAGGAGAGCAACCAACCAGTGGGAGAGGTTCTCGATTGATGGATGGATGTGAAGTTGGTTGTGTGAAGAGAAAGGAAGTCGAGGAATGAATGGGCCAATTGAGCGGTGAGACGCATGCAAGGGTAGACTGCCCAGACGAGGAGGACGCAACAAGGGCAGAAAAAAAGTGCCCACCACTTTTAAAGCAACCCCCGGCTGCACATCATGATTCGGCCGCGGGACCAGGCGCGGGAGTCGGGACATGTTGTGAGACACACTGACTGCATTGGACACCACTTTGTGTGTGTTTGTGTGCGGGACGGACGATGAGGGGGGAGATGAGGTGTGTGGTCTCAGGTGGTGCGGTGCCGCATTGACTGACTGCAGTGGCAGCCCGAGGGTTCAGCTGGGTTGGAGACATTGAGGAAACATCGAATTGGGCGGGAAGAGGTCAAAGTGGTGGGGCCTCCAGTTGTTGTTTTGAATGTTTCGATTCGTGGAGATCCCAGGATGACAGGGATCGCTCCTTCTCCCGCGAGAGTGGGAACTTTTAACGTCCGTCGTGTTCATCCCAAGAAGTGGAAATGGAAAGAGGGAAAAAGCACGGCCCCTCTCTCTCTCTCCATGCAGTCTAGTGCCCTCTTCACGCCGTCTCACGTCTTCTTGTTAATTTGGGCAACTGAACTCAAGGCACACTGCTGGCGACGCCTCTCGACACGCCTTGGGTTTGCTGAGTGAGTCCAGTGCTTGTTCCTGCCACCTGAGATCTAATGAGCGGGTTCCAAGTGTATCACCAAACCAATTGGGGGACCAGGTACCTCTAGGCAGTTCACGTAGCAATCGGGGTCTTCTTGGTCTTCTCAGTCTCCACGCAGGGCATCGTCGGTTTCGGCGCTTGTTCCTTTCTTCTCAGCTTGTGGATAGGAGCTCTACACTAGTGTTGTACCCAGGCAATTCCCTGGCTTCGTTGATTGTAACCGTTCCATCATCTTTCAAGAAGAAAGGACTGTGGACTCTTCAACACTCTATCAAACAACACACACAACGCACACACATACACTCCTTACAGCAGGGCTGAATAGAGAGTGTCAAGGGTCCAGCCTCATACACTACAACACAACGACGATAATAACTCTCAACTACCTACATACCATACACCCCATTATTCTATACCCTGCAAAATACCAAACTCAATCAAACCATTGTGAACGCTGTTCGCTGTTACGCTCGCTACCCGTGGGACCCTTCACCCAAAAGAAACACAGAATCCATAAAATCGAGATCCAAACCCCAGTCCCGTCCACCCCCGTCCCCCGTCCCCCAGCCTCCAGACCGAGACAGCAGCTCTCAGCTCTCAGCTCCGTACGTGTGATGATCCAAAAACACAGACAACACAATTTCACCAAAAAAAACACATCAAAATACCCATACCATCAACCATAGTGTTTAGTATCGCGATCGCTTACCATACCATCCTAGCCGTAGTAGTGTTTTGCGAAAAAGACTCTCGATACCCCCATTTTATTACGCGAAGAAAAAGAAGCTTAGACACAACGAAACTGAACGACTGTAACGAATGAACGACACCCCCTACCAATTGCCAGCAACATTGACGACGACGCATACACATCGCCCACCGCAAATGAATGGCCCGTAACGAAACACATCACATCCTATACCCAAGCGGTCAACAATGATTCCGCGAGACCAACGCCGCCGGAGCCCCGAGAGGGAGCGCCGCCGACGCGCTGACCGCCGCCAGTCCAGAGAACAGCTCGCCGCTGCCGCCCTCGCCGCCGCCGCCGTCGGCCAAACTGCTGCCAAAACTGCCGGCCCCTCCTCCACCCACCGATCCCGCGCCAACTCCAGCACTTCCTCTTCCGCCGTCACCTCCTCCGACGAAGCCAGCGCCCCCAAAAACACGGGATGGGGCTTCCGCTCCTTCTTTTCCTTGGCATCCTCCAAGAAAGTGCGGAAGCGCCGATCTTTTCGAAAGAAGAACTACTCCTCGTCCTCCATCGACAGCAACCTGGCCTATGGCGGGTACCAATCCAGGTCGTCCCTCGAGTCGCAAAGAGGCGCCAGGAGAAGGAGCGGACCCCAGAGGAAGATTAGCCAGACCTATTCCCAACACTCCCACCACGACAAGGAGTATCAACAACACAACCAGGATCAGTACAGGGATCATCCACAGTACGAGCAGCCTCAGCATGAATACCAGCGCCCAGAATATGTGCCCCAGGACCAGTATGCGCACTCGGACCAGACCACACCACGACCAGGCCAACCCACACAGCACCCACATGCGCAGCCCGAGCCATATTATCGACACCAGCATCAGCAATACCACCAGCAGCAATCTCATGCTTATCAGCACCCTGCGCAGCACTACCATGGCCAGCCCGAATATGATCCAGAGCTCTTTACGCCCGATGGCCGACCTAACTTGGCGCGAACAACGACCGACGAAGAGATTATCGAACTTGGGCGCAAGATCTCTGACCTTGCTAGGGCCTCCAACCTCCGTGACCTGGAAAGGGCAGGCAAGCAACGTCCATCCCAGCTGGTAGGTGCCGCAACCGCCATCTCCAACTTCCGTCGCCAGAATCCGAAGAGGAATGGACGTCGCGGTCTTGCTCCTTCCAAGTCCTCCAAGCGCGATGAGCAGAGTGACGATGATCAGGGATGGGATACGGCTTCGGACTCGGACTCGGACTCGGACTCGGGTGACAACGCGGAAGAGGCCAGCGCTAGTGACTCTGACCTTGCCTATGGTTCATCACCTCAATACTCGGACGAGAAGCTGTCTTCTTCCCCGGCCCCGGCTCCCGCGCCACCACCACCGACCATCAGCCCCCAGAAACCCTATATCAGGAACAAGGCCATCGATCCCTCCAAGTTTGGTCCCGTCAACTCCTTGCACGGTCTTGTGACTCCCCTGAATGGGTTCCGACCGACTGAAGATGTGCTTCCACCCCGTCAGTCAAAGCCCTGGCTTAGCAGATTCGAGAACGATCCTCTTCCGAATTACCCTACCCCGACAGACGAACTCGATACACCGACGCAGATGCACTACCCGATCGCTACCCCGGATCCCCGCAGATTCGATGCTGTCACCAGTCCAACTCTGGTATCCGGCTCACCTCTGATCATATCACGACCCGTTACTGTTGCCATCCAGGCCCCCAAGCCCCGTGTTCCGGTCTCGACACGCGCTTTGGAGGAACACCCCATGCCGCGCCAGAGATCCGCCGATGGGAGGCTTATGACGGCCGACTCTGCCTTGGCCAAGTCCATTGGGAATGCAGCTGGTAAACATGAAGTAATCCGAGATGATACGCCACCTTCCAACTACCGACAACATCGCTCGCGTGCTCAGAGCAATGGATCTGCTCATCCGTCTCACACTTCTCACCACTCTCACGCCCAGTCGCATACTTCTCGTACTTCTCACACTTCTCACGTTCCAGTCCATGTCCAAGTACCGCTTCCCACGACCCATGACCTCGAGTTCGACGATTGGCATGACTTTGAAGACCGCAACACCCACCTAGCCTCCGATGTCCCCCAGTTTACCGACCCAGCAGCTGCCGGCGTCGCCGCAACCCTCATCGGAACTGCCCTTTTCCAGGACCGATACCGACGAGATGACGAGGAGGATCGCAACCTGGACCCCAACCACGTTCTGGCCGAGTACAAGCAACGTGTACAGCAGGAGGAAGAGCAGCGCCGGAAAGCCGAGGAGGCTGAGAAGGAGCGTCTTGAGAAGGAACGCCAAGAGCGGGAGGCCCGTGCTGCCGCCGCCATCAAGCGGGAGCGTGAAGCGCGTGAGGCTCAGGAGGCTGCTGAGCGGGAGGCCCGCGAGAAGAAGGAGGCAGAGGAGCGTGCCGCTGCTGTTGCTCTTGAACTTGTCGCGCAGAGGCAACGTGAAGAGCGAGAAGCGCGTGAGGCCCTTGAGAAGATGGAGAGGGAGGCTGAAGAACGCGCTGCTGCTGCCGCTGCCGCTCAACGGGAACTTGAAGCTCTTGAGAAGGCTCGCCGCGAAGCTCACGAACGCGAAGTTCAGGAGGCCATTGAGAAGGCCCGCCGCGAAGCTCAGGAACGCGAAGTTCAGGAAGCCATTGACAAGGCCCGCCGTGAAGCGTTGGAACGCGACGCAGCTGCTGCTGAGCGGGAGCGTCAAGAGCGCGAGCACCTCGAGAAAGTCCGTCGTGAGGCGGAGGATCTTGCTATTGCTGCCCGGCGAGAGCTCGAGACCCGCGAAACTGCGCTTGAGGCTGTCGCCAAGGAAGCTAGGCGCCTCCGTGACGAAGCCGATTACCGTGAGCAGTACGAACGTCGTGTCCGAGAGGCTCGTGAAATGCAGTACAAGGAGGAGCGCCGGATGTATGATGCTCGATATCGTGCTGATCGGGAGAACATGATTATCGATGTTGAGCCTAGGCGCCGCAGCACTAGCCGGCAGACGAGGGATGAGTCGCCCGAGGAAAAGCGCTCCAATGCAGGTAAGGAGACGGAACGAGAGGAGCATCACCGTCCCAAGCGTGAACCTGTTACCATCATCAACGAGCGCGACGTTCCGAAAGACGAGCCCAAGCCCAAGGTCGAAAAGCCCACCCGATCCGTCTCGGAGAAGAAGCGAGAGAGTATGGGCGACACTCTGGACCCGAAGCCCAAGAAGCCCAGCAAGGAAGAGAGACGTGCTAAGCGCGCCGAAACTCTCCGACTCCTCGCCGAAATGCAAAAGGAACTCGAACTCGAAAAGGAACGAGCAAGGAAGTTGGCCGAGCTTGAAGCTGCCGAGCAACGGCAAGAGAAGCCCAAGGACGAGGAACCTCGCAAGTCCAGCCAACCAATTGTGCCAGAGCTTTCGAAATCCCCCAAGGACCAGGTTAGTCACGACTCCAAGGCAGTGCCAGCTCCAGGACCATCCCCCTCGAAGTCTCCCAAAGGCGTAATTGACCCATTTCAATTTCAGGTTCCGGATGATGCTTTCGCTACGCCGGTTCATGCTACCCCGGCTAGGCCACTAACTCCCCAGGTCTACACGGTTCCCGAGCCTGATTTCTCGCCTCCAAAGCGCCGTCAACTAACCCGTGCACTAACCGATGCGGAACTTGAAATTCGTGAGAGGGTAACTCGTCGTGACTCGTTCGAGATCCAGCAGCGTCAAGAAGAGATCCGCAGGAGCAGGAACACATCGGAGCAGCCAATGACCAAAGATGCCGACAAAGCGATCATTCCCGAGACCACTGGAAAGGAGACGTTGATGGCAGAGGAGCCTGAACGTGAGCGGAGCCGAAGCCATGACCGTGCGGGAAGCCGTGTTCGCGAATCCGAGCCACTACGCGACACGACCGAAGAGCCTGAGCGTGCTCGTAGCTGGAGCCGTCAATCTAGTCACGTTCGTGAACCGGAACCAACACCAGATCCGCAGAGTGAAGCCAACAAGTGGTATCGCGACTACGTTTCCAGCCGGCGGGAGGAACGCTTGCGCAGCAGCTCGCCTAGCCGATCAGTTGTGGATAAGTATGACGATTCAGTCTTTGGACCGCCGACACCTGTCATCGTCACAGCGGAACCAACGATCATCACGGCCGAACCTAGTTGGGCCACAGCTGAGCCTGCCGATGATGGAAAACCCAAGAAGGGCAAGTACGCCGAGCCCGATGCCGATGTGAGGATCGATCATGTCATCTTGCCACGAGACTTGCACAGGTTCCTCAAGCCGGCGGATGATCATTCCAGCCTTCATGCGCCCGCTGGTCAGCCAATGTTTAGTTCGAGAGATCCATCGTGTGAGAGGGAGAGGCCCTTGCTGAATCTAGTGCTACCCACGCCGGCGCCGACTCCTACTCCTGAACGTGAACGCAGAGAGCGCGCAAGACAAGCTGCTCGCGAGTCCGAGGTGGAGCATGAGGAATCCAGGCTAGCTCCCGTTGCTGCCGAGGAATCGAAGAAGCCGAACTACATCCTCAACGCCCGCGGTGAAATCGAAATCATCGCCCCAACCCCCAAGGATGAAGACACGGAGTCTGTCAAGTCAGATGGGTGGGTGGAGCCCGTGGCTGATACCGGGTTGACGCATGTTGTTGTGGACAGGTCGAGACAAGCGGCCGTGGAAGCAATCAAGCGCGCCCTACAGCCTAAGAGGGAAAGAAAGGCGAGCATTACTTGGGGAACGCTTGCTGGTGCGGTGCTTCAGAAGGTCGCTGAGGATAGGAAGGCTGCCGCTGAGCAGAAGACCGAGATCGCGGCTGCGGAGGAGAAGAGCCTTGCTCCCGAAGTTGAGGAAAAGGTTGAGGTTCTTCCGGCTCCGGTTGTTGAGGTTCCAATCGTTGAAGAGAAGCAGCCTGAAGAACAGAAGTTGCGGGAGATCGAGCCCGAGACAAAGCCGGCTGACGTTGCTGCACCAACAAAGACCGAGGTGCAGCCGGACGTTGAACTACCCCGCCAATCCCCGCATCCCGATCCGGAGCCGCATCTGGAGCCGCACCATGAGGCGACCCCAGTTCCCGCCATTGCTATTCATGAACCGGAGAGTCCGAAAGCGACTGAAGAGCCCAAGGATGAAGAGGCTAAAGAGGAGCTCAAGGAGGAGGAGGAGCTGAGTGCGCTTCCCGAGGGAGAATCCCATGAAGAGAAAGAAGATGAGGCTACGCGTCAGGTGAGAATTGACCATGATCATAGCGGACGATTGCGGAGGCTAACTCAGTTACAGATTGTCGATGAGGCCACAAGTAGCCCCATTAAACCCAAGCGCAAGCTCCCGAAAAGCCTCGCAGAACCATCAATCTTCTCTCCTTACCGTCCCACCTTCTCCGATAACTTCGCCGATGTGGTTTGCGGCGAACACCCCAACCCCGAACCTCATGCCGACACCTATACATGGCGTCGTGAGGCCATGGCAACTCAATCCTCCATAGGCGACGAGTGGGAGTCCATTCTGCGAAAAGCGGAAATTGAAAAGGACGAAACCACGACGAACCCAACGGGGACATTTAACCCGGACAACCGCGAGCCGCCAGATCGATTGGGAAAGGAGTTTTCGTTCGAGGTTGTGGAACACGAGAACTCACAGACCTATCCCTCGGATGGAAATGCGAGGGAAAGTGAGAAGGCTAGTACCGAGCAGAATGGTGTTTCAGACCGCCGACCCAGCAATGAGTTTATCGAATTTTTGAAGAATCAGACCAATGGCTCGACATCGGACCGCAAGCATGAGCACATCATTGCCACCACCGAGATGAACGGCAACAGCGAGGATGAGTATTTTTTAGGTAATGCCGGCACCCATGGCGCAGGTGCCGGCTCGGCAGAGGATTCTGAGGCTGCGACCGCTTCTGACAGCAAAGACGCGGAGGCCCAGAATCTCCCTCGCCCAAATGCCACCCAGGCCTCCATGGATAGTACACCCATCGCTGAGTCTAAGGAGGAGGATGAGGAGGAGAAATTACACGGCAGCAATGCCGGTTCGGACAGTGCCCCCGAGCCGACCCAGCTGCGACACACGGATTCTCGGTTTATCGACCCTGAAGTCCTTGTCCACAGACCATTTACCCCAGCCATCGACCCTCAATATGGCGATCTTCTTCCTTTGCCTCCTTACCCTACTCTCACGGGACCTGGGTACCGCTACCTTGCAGACTTGCCCTCGCCGCTTGACTTTGATCTCGAACAGCTTCCAGCACTACCGGAAAGCAGACCCTCTACGCCACCACCTACGTCTGGCTCTCCAGGCAACGCATTCAAAACCGCCGTAGCAGCAATGATGGGCACCCAATCCCTGATCAGGAGACAGAGGGGTCACACTCGTAGCCGTAGTGCGCTGGATGGGACCGCCCCAGTGAGAGTACCAAGCCAGACCGCCGTCCCTATCCAGTTCCGTCTGAAGGGGAAAAAGAGGGCAGGGTCAGAGCATTCACTTCCACCTTCTGAGGCCTGGGGGCCGTCATCCGCTTCAAGGCCATCTAGTGCCCATGGTGACGCCGCTGCTGCTTCCGATGGGACGTTCCCGGCCAGGAGCAGGCCAAGACCAACCAGTTGGGAGGGTTCGATGAGGGATATTAAGCCTTTGTATCTTGTTGAGCGAAACGCTGCTACTGCTGCTGCTGCTGCTGTGTTGGCGCCGACTGTGGATACCGAGGAGGCTCTTCCTCCCCCGGAGAGCTTCGAGTTGCCGGAGGATGATGATTTGGATTTGTTGCCTGCTTTGCCGGAGAGTGCGCCTGAGAGTGATGCTGGCTCGCCTGTTGTTGCGCCCCAGATTGAGAGTCTTGAAAAGGATGTGCCAAGTGAGGCGGTTCTTCCTGCTCTGGAAGCTGCTCTCACTCCAGAGACTGTCCGACTTCCGGTTGTCGAGGACTTGGATCTCCTCCCGGCTCTTCCTGAGAGTGATGCCGGTTCACCTATCGTCACCCCCGTGAATCTGTCAACCGATCTACCAGTCGATGAGGATCTCAAGCAGGCCGAAGTCCCCAGCCCGGCTTCTACTGATAGGGCTCTTCCTGCTCCTGAGACTGTCGAGCTCCCCGTTGACGAGGATCTGGATCTGTTGCCGGCTTTGCCTGAGTCCCCAACAGCCGAGTCTGCCGTGCCTGTTTCCTTGCCGGCGGTTGCTCCAGAGGTTGTTGAGGAGGTTCCGGCTGCTGAGATTCCTCAGGTTATTGAGGCTTCCAAGGAGTTTGGGATTCCTGCTCCTGAGACTGTCGAGCTCCCGGTTGATGAAGACCTGGATCTCCTTCCAGCACTGCCGGAGAGTGGCCTTTCTTCGCCTACTCTTCGTGAACCTGCATCACCTGTTTCCGTTGGTAAGGACGACGCTCTCTCAACTCCAGTTGAGGACATTCTCCCTGTCCCGAGGAGTGTCAACCTTCCAGAGGACATCAAACTCCCCGCTGATGAGGATTTGGACCTCCTTCCCGCATTGCCTGATAGCGTTGCTTCGTCTCCTACTACTGAGTCTGTGCCCGTCTCTTTGCCGATCTCGGCTCCAGAGGTTGCTCAGGACATGGAGGAGATGCCGAAGGCCGTTGAAGTACCAACTACCCTGTCTCCGGAGGCTGTTAGACTTCCTGTCGATGAGGATCTTGATCTTCTGCCTGCCCTTCCGGACAGTCTTGCTACTTCCCCAACAACCGAGACTATGCCATCCCAGCTTTTCGTGGAGGAAGTAGTCGAGGAGACGTCGAAGGCCGTTGAGCGTGAGGTTCCAGTTCCGGAAAACATCAAGCTACCGGTCGATGAGGATCTTGATCTCCTCCCAGCTCTGCCAGACAGCATCGCTACCTCTCCGACGACCGAGACCACACCGTCTTTGCCTATCTTGGCCTCTGAAGAAGCTACAGATGCGCCGAAGGAAATTGAGGTCGCTCCTGAAACTGTCACACTCCCTGCTGACGAGGATCTCGATCTCCTCCCGGCTTTACCTGAAAGTGGCAATACTTTCCCGGAAAGAAGCACTTCGCCCGTCCTCCTCGAGAAGGCCGCCTCACCTGTCATTATTCCTGAGCCCGAGACAGTAGCGCTTCCGGTTGATGAGGACTTGGACCTGCTTCCTGCGCTGCCTGAGAGTGTGCCGGCTTCACCTACTAAAGAGCATGCTTCTCTCGCTACCTCGCCTGTCGTTGCTCCTGCCGTTGAGAAGGAGGTCGATAACGAGGTTGAGCTTGTTTCGGAAGTTAGCCGTGGGTTGGAGGTGCTTGAGCCGGAGACTATCTCGTTGCCTGTTGATGAAGACTTGGATTTGCTGCCTGCTCTTCCTGAGAGCGGACCTGCTTCGCCTTCTAAGGAACATGCTTCCCTTACCACTTCTCCTGTCGCTGGCCCTACGCTTCTCGAGGAGATCGAGGCTGAAGTTGAACTCGTTCCCGCGGTTGACGACGAGGTCGCTAAAGGAACGGTGCCTATGCCTAAGCCTGAGCCTGAGGCTGTCTCATTGCCCGTGGACGAAGATTTGGACCTCTTGCCTGCTCTTCCTGAGAGCGGGCCTGCCTCGCCAGCATTGGAGCGATCCGCTTCCCCAGCGGTGCCCGTACTCGAGAAGGAGGAGGCTGTTCCTGAGGCCATCTCGGAGGTTGTCTGTGAAATTGTCCCTGAGCCTGAGAATGTAGCACTTCCTGTGGACCAAGACTTGGATTTGCTGCCTGCTCTTCCTGAGAGTGGACCTGCCTCGCCTATCAAGCAACATGCTTCGCTTGCTACTTCGCCAGTCATCGAAGCGGTCGTTGAGAAGGAACCGGTTGTTGAAGAGGTGTCTGGAGTTGTCCCTGAACTTTTGCCTCTTCCCGAGGATCAAGATTTGGATCTCCTTCCGGCGCTGCCTGAAAGTAGTCCGGCTTCGCCTAGAAAGGAGCATGCTTCGCTTACTATTTCGCCAATTATTGAAGCGGTTATTGAGAAGGGACCTTCCGTTGAGGTTATCACTGAACTTCTGCCTCTTCCGGATGACGAGGACTTGGATCTCCTACCTGCTCTTCCGGAGAGTGGTCCCGTCTCACCTACCAAGGAGTACGACTCTCTCGCTACCTCGCCAATTACTGAAGCGGTTATTGAGAAGGAACCCTTCGTTGAAGTTGTCCCTGAACTTCTGCCACTCCCGACCGACCAAGATCTGGACCTCCTCCCCGCTTTGCCTGAAAGTGGTCCCAGCTCTCCTGTCCAAGAAGAGTTCGCGGCACCAGTGGCCCAGCCGACGGATATCTCAGTCGACACAGAGGTTGAACAGCCTTCCAAGGACACGGAGGATGTTTTGTCAATCACTATCCCCGAGCCTGAGTCCGTACCACTTCCAGCTGAGTCCGATGACGGTCTTTGGGCTTTGCCTTCACTGCCTCAAAGTCGCGCTGGTTCGGGATACGCCTCGCCTGTCACTGCTAATATCCCGACCGAAGTGGTCCCATCACCCGTTAAGGCTATCGAGGAAACATCCGAGCTACCCGTTTCCGTCAATCCTGAGTCTGTCCGCCTACCATCTGACGACGGTCTTTGGGCCTTGCCTTCCTTGCCTGTAAGCCATGAAGGATCGGGATACGCTTCACCAGTTGCGGCTATGCCTACCTTCGGTGTGGAGCCGCCGATGGAGGATCTTGAGGAGTACTTCCCTGATCATTACGATCAAGAAGTCGTCGACGAACTCTCGTCTAAGCAGCCTCGTGAGGTTGAGACGGAGTTGCCGTTGGATACCCTGCCTCAACTGCCCGCTGACGAGGACCTTGACCTTCTGCCTGCCCTGCCCGATAGCCGCGGCAGTTCTCCCGATCTGGCTGTTTCTTTGCCAGTCGAGAACCACCAGGAGGTACTACAAGCTGACCAGTCTGAAAAGCAGCTTGACCTCTCGGAGCTTCCGGCTTTGCCTGTTGATGAGGATCTCGAACTTTTGCCTGGCCTTCCAGAGAGTAGGAACGAGTCGCCTGAGCCGCAAGTTGAGACTGTCCCGGCTGTCATTCCCGAGCAAGCTGAGGAGGAGAAGGAGAAGGAGCAGGAACGGGATTTGTCCAAGTTGCCACCTCTGCCTGCTGATGAGGACTTGGATGTCTTGCCTGCGTTGCCCGAGAGCAGAAACGAGTCGCCTGAACCTGAGGTCTCTCTACCCATCAACACTCCTGAGCAGGCCGACCTGTCCAAGTTGCCAGCTCTGCCTGTCGATGAGGACCTCGACATCCTCCCTGCGCTCCCTGAAAGCAGAAACGATTCTCCTGAGCCCCAACCTTCTTTGCCCAAGGCCATCTCACCAGAGGTTCTCCCTCTTCCGGCTGACGAAGACTTGGATCTTTTGCCTGAACTGCCGGAAAGCCGGGGTAGTAGTCCCGATCAGGAGACTTCGCTTCCAGTGGCTGTACCTCAATCCCCCATCGCCGAGGAAGCTGTTAAGGATGTCGCCGAAATTCCTGTTGCTGAAAAGGACCTCTCTTATCTGCCAGCACTTCCCGTTGACGAAGACCTCGAACTTCTTCCTGCCTTGCCTGACTCTCCTGCAGCTGACAACTTCCCCGAAGAGGAGGAGACGCAAACTACCTGGCAGCCCGAAGAGTTCACACAACCTGCTTGGGACGAGACGCAACCTACTCAGATGTCTGAAATTAGTGAAGAAGACTTCCCTGTTCCCGGCGTCAAGGTTGACGAGGTGTCTCGGGATTTGGCCGATCTTCCGGCTCTACCGGAAAGCAGATCCAGCAGCCGTTCTGAGGACATGGAGACGGCTCCGAGTCTCGAGGATCCCTCGGAACTCCCGCCACTGCCGGAAAGCAGGGAAGATTCTCCCGAACCAAAGTCCCCGTTGCCTGATCTTGGTGGCCAGCCAGCTAAGGAGTCACTTGCCAAGCAGATTGCGCCTAGTCAACCGTGGAATGAGAGTGAGACTCAAGGTACAGAAAATCCGTTCGATGAAAGTTTGCCGAAAGCTAACATTGATTTTACAGACGAACCCCTCCCCGTCTCCAACGAACTCATTGTAGGCCACGTCCGCCGCGACTCTTCCGAAGCCGCTCACCCATCCGATATCTACGAAAAGCCATCCTCCCACAACCAGGCCAAGTCCCCCATGCTTATCGGCAACAATGACCCCAACGAGATTGACTACAAGCTAGCCGAGACCATCTACGAGGACATGTGCGACGAGGATGACGCTTCTACGGTGGCTGCATCAGACGCTCCCAGTTTCTTGTCCGGCGCCAATGCGGAACAGAAGGAGCAGATTGCCAAGGCCCTTGCGGGCGACTCCGAGGCTACTTCTAGCTTGAGCCCGGAGAGCTCCTTTAGGGTGTTGCAGTATCTGAAGAAGAGAGATGCGGCAATGAAGCAGGGTCAAACGTATGAGGAGCCCGAGACGGTTGTGCCAGGCCCGTCGTCGCAGTATGAGGACGAAGAGGAGCAAGTTCCACAGGAGATTGAGGACGCACTGGAGTCTATCGAAGAGGTATTGTCCATGATATTCACGAGTTGGGTGTCACAGATTGCTAACTAATTGTCTCAGCAGAGCAAGAAGGCCAAGGGAGTTTCGTTCGAACCTTCGGATACTCCAACCGAGAAGCCTGACGTTCCTGAAGACGTACCTGCCGATCACACCACATCTGACCAAAGCACGCCTCGCCAAGAGCTCAGGATCGGCATTCCAGGCCCAAGCTCCAGGGTAGCCAACCTCGAAGCGGTCAACGATGAGGTCGAGAATATTTCTGATGCCGAAGCCCAAAAAGATGAACTTCCCAAGACTTCGACCGACAAAGACAAGCACACCGAGTCTCGATCGAATCAGGAGGAGTCCAGCGGTGAACCCCAGCCCGCCAATACCACTCAAGAAGACTCCATTCTCGGAGGCGGTCTCGTCGCTGAGCCTGAGCGTCAGCGGCCAATGAGAGTAGCCAGCCCTGAAAACCAGTGGGGCACGCTTGGCGACCTGGACGACTTGGATGACGAAGATGACGACGATGTCAGCGAATATTCGCCCGGCGGTACTAATTTAAAGAGGCACTCGCTGACTAGACTGCCGACGTTCCCTGGTGTTACGGCTTTCTTGGGAAGGAACTTTAGGAGCAATTCGGCCCCGAGCCCGTCGGATGTGCCGGTGCAAGACGAGAGGGATTATTATTCGAGTGATGAGCGGGAGATGCTTGGGGAGGAGCAGCAGCAGCATCAGCAGGAAGTATCAGGGGATGAGTTGGAGAAGAGGTTGGAGAAGGTGAAGATGGAGGAGGAGGTGGAGGATGAGAAGACTGAGGAGAAGACTGAGGAGGTTGAGGGTGCTGATGAATCGCAGACCGGACCGGAGAAACCGGTGGAAACTGAGCCGGAACCTGCACGAGAGCACATCGAAGGTGAACCCAGCACAACTGAGAAGAAGGGTAAGAAAAAGAAACAGAAGAAGAAGAGAAACAAGGGGAAGGGCAAAGCCGACGTGGAGCCGGAGGCGCCATTACCGACAACACAAGCTGACCTGGAGACAACATTAGCACCTGAAGCCGAAGAGCCCAAAGAACGGGAGCCAGATGCTGAACCCGCAAGCAAGCCAAAGAAGAGTAAGAAGAAGAAGAACAAGAAGAACAAGAGCGCCGCTGTTAGCATCCTCGAGGAACCAACGATTTCTGACACAGCAAAACCCACAGACGGACCCGGAGTCGACCGACACAGCACCTGGCCAATGGTAAAGAGCGACGCCGCCTCAAGTGAAAAGAAGACAGCTCTGGAGAATGAACCAAGTACGCAAAACATGACGTTACCCAAAGACGAGGAATAGCTCTGTTGACATTTGGTTTTTTGAAGCAGAAATCCCGGCCCCTCAGGAATTCATGAACAATGAAAACATCACCCTTCCCGAGGAAATACCTCTCCCAAGGAGCCGCGACCTCTCCCCTTGTGCCTCTGAGGAACCAACGGAGGAGACTGCCACCATTGAGCGCGAACCAGAGCTAAGGACCCCCGCAACCAAACACGACGAGGCCACCACTGTCGATGAAAAGCAAACGGCTACAGACGAGTTGGATGAAAACGGCTCTGTAACACCCACTCCGCACTCGCATGTCTCTGATGACCACCAAGGGGAATCACAGGGTGATGCGGAACAAGGCGTCAAAACTGCCCCACCTGAGAGCAGCAACACCACTGAACCTCTGACAAGTGGTGCTGAGCAGCCAATCAACCCTCAAGCCGATATTCCCAAGGATATGCAGCCTGCAGAAGATCCCGTTCCCGTCGAAGCTGCCTTGGAAGGTTCGACGCAGCAAGGTGAATCCCAGACCGATGACAATGACAAGCCTCAGGAGGAGCCAAAGGTAAAGGAGCAACTAGCTACAGTATCGCCAGATCTAGTTTCCCCGACATCAGACACATTCACGCCTAGATTGCTGAGACGGTCATATCCTAAGAAGGAAAAGACCAAGGCCGGCAAGATGTCCAACCCGGCGTCACCTACCATGGGTGCAGGCTGGGGCATTGCCAGCCCTCCCAGTATGAGCTTAGACAAGGCCCTCGAAGCCGCTGACCCGTTCGCCGATGGAGAGTTCGAACGGCGCATGAGAACTGTCAGTGCGAACAGAGAAGCTGAGCGCTCAGCCAAGATCGCCGAGAAAGAAAAGCTCGAGCGGGCGCTCTTCTTGCAACGCAGGTCTACCTTTGACGTTGGCGATTCACCGACATCATCGCACACCAGTGTTGTTGGCTCGACTCATTCCTCCGGGGCCGCAGAGACTGGTTCCAATGCAGAGGAGAGACCGATTTATGCGCTCAAGAGGGCCAGTACCGATAGAGCTGAGAAAAAGAAGAAGCTGGCTGCTGAGAAGAAGAGGAGCAAGAAGTCGGATTGGCCGGATGCGTGGCCGGAGGAATTTGATGAAGAGGCTACGATGCCACAGGAGCCTGGGCATCCAAGCATGTGGCCAGAGCTGCACGGGAGAGCGTCACCGAGCCCGATTAGAGGGCGGTCCGGCTATAGGACGCCGACGCCGCTTGGGCAGCACATCGAGGTGGGCCGTGCAAGTGGACAGACTGGTGATGATTCTGCTGACCATGTTGGTGTTTTACAGGAAACTGATCGCAGGTTATCAGCGGGGGGAAACTCAGTGGGTCCAGGTATGTTTATTGGTCAAATAACTTTATGAGCAAGGGGGTGCCTGCAGATCTAGGAGCGGAACGGTGTTCAAGCCCATGTCGAACATGTGAATGGGGTATGGGATGGAGCAGCCAGAGCCAGGGGGGAAAGATGGGCGGGGCTGGAAGCTCCCCTAGCTCCCCTTTAGCTCGGCCTACCGTCACCGCCCCCCGTTCCTGAACATCCATCTACACAGGCTATCCCTATTCTGGTCGATACTCCCTGTCTGCTCCTGGGACTGCTCACTCTCACTTGAATTTTTCTTTTTTCACTTCCAGGAGAAACAACATCTCAAGATCCTCAAGCACAAGCACTTACTATTGCTTATCAAATACGCTGGATCAGCAACTAATACTTTAATATTCTATTATCAGACTCATCACGTTCACGATACAACAACATGTCTGATCCTTTCACTATCGGCGGTGGACCTAAGGATGTCCCTCCCCCTGAACCCATCCCTGAGGTGCCTTCGAAGCCCATTCCTGATGTTGGCTCCGATACTGCCACCCCTACCTCGGAGGCCAACAAGGAGCTTGGTGGTACTGTGAGGGCCTCTGGCAAAAAGGGCCGCAAGAGAAGAAACTCGTCTCTAGCTGTCGCTACCGACAAGGAAGAGGACGTCGATGCCAACAACTCTGAGGCTGAACAAGGTGACTTGGATACTCAGCCCTCTGGCAGTGCGCCTGGCAAGAAGACCAGAAGGAACAGGAGAGGACGGAAGGGCAAAGACAAATCAACGCCTTCCTCCCCTTCCGTTGATACTGAGGAAGCCGAGGACCAGGAGGCCTCGGATGGTGATGAGGAGCCCTCCTCTTCTGGCAGTTCGCAAGACGCCAATGCTGGCGCTGCCGGCGATGCGTCTGGGAAGAAGAGGAAGAACAGGAAGAAGGGATCCCAGGCTTCCTCCGGTCTTATGAGCCCGCCTCTGGAGCCGAACGCTGAGGTTGCCCAGCTCCATGCTCAGCTGGCTCAACTTACCGATCTGGTTCAACAACTGGTTGTCGAAAAGACCAGAAATTCTTCAGCGGACCAGGGTCGCAGTAGGCGAAACTCCAGTGTTACTAAGGGTAACCCCAAGATTCGCAGGACGTCCTCCGGAGGAGGTGTTGGCGACGGCGAGGCTCATTACGACAGTGACGGCAATTCCATCCACGACGAAGACGAAGAGCTCGACGACGACGACGACGACGACGCCGAGACGGGAGCAGCGGACGAGACGACCAAGGCGAAGCGCTTCATGGGCGTGCCTTACCGACGCGGCAGCAAGTCCAAGTCAGACAAGGGCGAAAAGGGCGACAAGGCCAAAGACAAGCATCAACAACAAGTAGGCGAAGATCCAACCTCTGAGCTCGAACATGCAGTCCTCAAGACTACTCCAAGGGAGGAAGATGAGCAGACTGGCAACTCCCCCCAAATTCGTGACGTTACCGCAGCTGACAACGAACGCACTCAACAAGAGCTCTTCGCAATCGACAACGTCAACGTCAACGTCATCAAAAATGAATCTCGGGATTCCGAAGCTGGGGTTGAATTCGCTCTTGGGCAGCAAGTCGTCATCGAGCGCCAAGGAGATGAGCACGCAGACGAGCAGTCCGGAGCCGAGCCCGCGGAACAGCTTCAGCAAGGACGGGGAGGAGGACGTTCCGGCCGAGGACAGACCGCCGGACCCGTCCAAGTACCCGCCGTCAGCCAGCAAGCCGGTCAAGAGCAAGGTGCGCCGAGCAATGAGCGGCTTGTCGAGGACGAGGGGCGCGCCCAGTCTGGAACAGATTCCCGAGACGGAGTTCGAGGACTCGGAGCTGGAGGACGGGGCGACTTCGCCTCCGCCGAAACCGGGCATGATCAATCGCGCCATGACGGGCATGAAGAGTCTGGACAAGCTGGACTTCAGGAAGCCGAGGGCGTCGTCGGTGGGTGGGGAGACGGATCATCACAGACCCGCGACGGCGACGGATGCGGAGTCGGAGTCGATCAATCAGGAGACTGCGTCGATCACGCAACCGAAGGGGTCGTCGGCCATGATGAAGAGGGCGTTTTCGGGCATGATTCCTACCACGTCCAAGCCACGAGCGAGCTTGGATCAGCAGTCCGAGACAGAGTCGATTTCCGGATCCACCAGGCCGAGCATGATGAAGAGAGCCGTGTCCGGAATGATTCCGGGAGCGTCGAAGCCACGGTCGAGCATGGACTCGACGGCAGAGCACTCGGGCGAGCGCAAGATGAGCATGGGCTCGGCGTTCAAGAACTTCAGCATGACGGGCAAGACCCGGGAACAGTCGAGGACACGGGAGCCGACCAGTCGGGGACCGAGCATCGATCTAAGCCCACAGGAGACGGACAGCATGGAAATCAGTCCGCACGAGAGTCCAGCGTTGAGACCCGAAGTGTCGCCGGATCCACACCCGCAGCCGAAGCCGGGAATGATGAAGCGAGCGTTGACGGGCATGAACCCAGCCGCCTCACAACGGCCGGACATGGCGGAGCGCCGCGAATCCGAACCGGTTCTGGAGAAGGAGAAGCACAAGACGCTCGACCGGCTGACGTTCGGTATGATGTCAAGGTCTCACTCGACATCAACGGGCATGGGTACGCAGACTCCGGATTCGGGGTTCAACAGCGCCGAACAGGACGTGCTGGAGCCATCGAGACCGGGATCTGGGTCGGGGTCTGGATCAAGCTCGATTCATCACCACCATTCGCAGCACTCGTCGGAAAAGAGCAAGACCAACAAGACGATGAAGATGCTCGGGTTGGGCGCCTTCACAAAGAAGGACAAACACGCGGATTTGGTGGACACGCCGCCGGAGATGAGCAGACCGGGTTCGTCCGGGTCGTATCAGGCAACGGCCGCCAGCAAGCCCAGCAGGATGGATCGGACGATCTCCGGGATGGGCATGTCCAGACCCAGGAAGAGTATAAGCCAAGAGACCCCTCCCCCGGACACGGACTCGAGACCGGGAACTGGATCGTCAATGCAGCCGCCACAGCAGCCGCAGTTCCCGGTGAGACCGGATCCCAGCCCGGCGCCCAAGTCGAGAATGGCCAGCTTCAACAAGGTGATGACGCTGGGGCTGATCAAGGACAAGAGCGACAAGACTCCTACGCCCAGCCACCACGAGCCGGACACAGCGACGCAGACGCCCATGGAATCGTCGGCGAGCGCGCACTCGAATGGGTCGAGGCCGTCGAGCTGGAACAGCAATCAGTTTCCCGAGCAACTGATGCCAGAGGGAAAGCCGAGCAAGTCGCAGACGAGAATGGGAAGAGCGATGTCTGCGCTGAGCATCCCGACAGGCAGCAGGACCAGTGTCTCCCAGGAGAGACCGGCAAGCTCACACCCGGAGACAACGACCAGTGCCAACCTGACGGAGCCGACGGACGTGACGGACGCGCACTCGCATCACAGCCATCACTCGAATCAGACGACGACGACCACTACCACGACGACAGACAAGAAGGAAAAGTCAAAGATGTCCTTCAAGAGCGTGGTCACCCTGGGCATGGCAAGCAGCCATCGGTCCTCGAGCAGTCGGAGACACAGCGTCGAACACTCGTCCCAGACGCAGCCGCCAGCGATACAACAGCCGCCCGTGATGCCCAAGCTGGAACTGCCCAGCTTTGGACTGGGCGATTCCCTACTGGGATCTCCACCGGGGACATCGTCGGGTCTGGGAACGCTCTCCCCGCCAGCGACGTCATCGGGTGCTCCTCCTCCTCCGCTGGGGGGATCGGTATCAGCGCCGGGAACGTCGTACGGGTTCCCGAACGTGGAGACACCGTCGTCAGAGAGACCACCAAAGGATCCGGAGACGGCGAGCATGATGAATCAGCCCAAGCCGGGGATGTTGGCGAGAACGAAGACGGCGATGAGCATAGGGAGTCGCAAGGAGTGGAGGGACGAGTCGGAGACGACGGGGATGGGAGAGGAGAAGAAGGAGAAGAAGGTGATGAGCACGAGCGCCAAGGCAAATTGGAATCGGGCGCTGAAGGGCACGAAGGGGGTGGTGGGCATGGGAATGTTTATGAAGAAGGACAAGAAGGAGAAGGACAAGGGGGTTTAGAAGACGCTTTGTCCGAGACCGGCGGAAGTGAGAATGCAGTTGGAGGTTTGGGGGTGAAGGCTGGAGTTGAGAAGGTCACGGTGAGCCCTGAGGAGGTGGAACTACCTGCTTCACCTGCAGTCAATCCTGAGGAGGTAGAACTTCCATCTTCTCCCTCGGTTCTACTTCTCTCTGATGCTGCTGGGGAACAACTTGACGAAGCCGTTATCAAGCCAGTTGAGCGGGACTTTGACCAGCAGCTTGAGAAAGACAACTCACTCAACCCTCAAGAGATTGGACTGCCACTTTCTCCCCCTCCAGCTATGTCCGAGATTGAGCCAATTGAACATATCATCATCAGTCAGCAATTCCAAAACGACCCATCTTCACATGCAGTCAATCCTGAAGATGTCCAGCTGCCCGCCTCTCCTTCACCTTCAGCTGAACTCGCCGAAAGCGAAAATGAGCCAATTGAACAAGGCTTCAACCAGCGATCTCCCAGACACGCAATGAACCCTGAACAAGTTTGGTCAACCCTATCAGACGCTGGCGATCTCACCGAATCCGAGCCGGCGGTTGAACAAGCCAAGCAGAGCACCGTGGAGCCTCTCTCACCGGCCACCACCACTGCCGACCGCGACCAGGACCAGAACCCTGACAAGGTATTCCACCTCTTTCCCCCCATGTACCCAATCGGATGTCTGGAATAAGTCTTGTGCTAATCCATATGCTGCAGTTCATTGGGCAGCAATCGGACATCCCACTTTTCACGCCTGAGGCTCAGAGGCACGAGGAACCCGGCGACTTGGTGCTGCCAACTTCTGAGGCGGCGACTAACCTTCCCTCGTCTTCTTCCCCACTCCTTCCTTGTCGTTCTTCCCGCTCTTCCATGTCTGCTTCTGAAGAGCTTCCATCCGAAACTACCTCTCCTAACCTTGTTTCAACTACTACCGCCGCTATTGTTACAACAACTATCGCTGCCACTACAAGCACTGCTGCTGCTGCTGCTGCTGCTGTCAACACCGCGTCGTCCCAGGCTACCGAAGCTAGTACTACTACCGACGAGCATGCCCCGTCACACCGCGCGGCTGCTCGTTCTTCTTTTTCCTCCTCTTCTTCTTCACTTAGAATGACCGAGCCTGAAGAAGTGGAGCTTCCTCCATCTCCCTCATCACCGGCGCCGCCGCACCATACTGCGCCCAGGCCTGAGGAGGTGGAGTTGCCGGCTTCGCCTGTTCCTGTCACTGTCACTGTCAATGTCAATGAGCCTCATCACCACCAATCCGCTCAAGATATCGACGTCGACAACACCAAGCCTAAAGGCGATCAGCACGTCGAGGATGATCCCAAGTCAGACAGCGAACTAAGCCTTGGCCAGCACGCTGACCAACGTGGCCAACACCCTATTTCCGAGATCAGACCCACAGATATCCGACTGCCGCTCTCACCGAAGGTTACCCCTGAAGGTGTGGTGGAGCTTCCCGCCTCCCCTGATTCAGAATCCACACCTATCATCATCGACGAACAGCTTCAGCTTCAGCCGCTGCATTCTTCTCATGGTGACGACGAACAACAACTTTTTTCTCAATCACCACCACCCAAGGTTACCACCACTGCCGATGCTCATGCGCAACCGTCATCCTTGGAGAAGTCCCCTGTTCTAATGGCCGTCCCAAGCTCCCTGGACATGCCACCACCACCCGAGGATATTGAACTGCCGCCCTCACCTGCTGATGTGGAGCATCGAGAGGAGAAACCAATCGTCGCCGAGATTCATGAGCATGTCAAGTCACCTGTTAGCGGTCATCAAGATGTAGAGATCCCGACTTCTCGTGAGCATTCGCCTGCTCATTCGCCCGCGGTTGAAGTCTCTAATTCCAAGGTTCCAACTGATGCGGCTGAGCTTTCTGAAGTGGAGGAGAATTCTGCGTCCCAGTCGAAGCAGAAGACGTTGGCTGAAGAGTTGGAGGAGCTCGATGAGTCTAGGTCTCCTTCTCCTGAAGTTGATAACCGAGATGCGGAGCTTGCATCTTTTACTGGACTTACCAAGGATGCGGAACTCCCATCTGCACACTCATCGCCCATGGTCGCACCTACGGATATAGAGCTCCCAGCTTCACCCTCTCCCAAGCCTGAGACCAATGATCAAGACAAGGACCTTCCGATCACAGCCGAGTCCCACGAAGCCGTCGCCAATGTTACCATCTCAACTTCGACTTCGCCCACGGTCTTGCCCAAGGTTAAGCCAGAAAACATCGAGCTTCCGCCTTCTCCACAGCGCCCTCAGCTCTTGCCTTCACCTAATATCGTACCCGGCTATCAATTCTCGCCTGAGCCTCTTTCTGATGATGAAGGACTACCGCTTTCACCTGACGATGAGTTTGAGGATGATGATGACGAGGATGATGGGTCGCCAGTTGATGTCGAGCAATACGAGCGGAGCTTTAGTGATGATCCCCAGGAGGAGGGGTTCGCGTCTTCGCCTGATGAGGGAACAGTTGATCATGTTGAAGTCCAGCAGCATTCTCCTCCTTCCCAAGGTTCACCCGCATCCGCATCGTCGTCGCCAAGAATCTCACCAGCGCAAGTGGAACTCCCTGCCTCTCCTGTCGAGTCGCCCAATTTCGCTCCTGCTTCGTCGTCCCCTTCGCCCAAGAGCACACCGGAGGACGCGGTGCTTTCGCCTGCGCTTGAGGCGGCGATGGAGTTCACGCCTTCTTCGCCTGTGGAGCGCTCGGTTCCTTCGACTAAGGGTACTGCGTTTGAGGAAAGGGCTGTTTCGTCTGCACCTGCACTTGCACCTGCACCTGAGGAGGAAACCGTTCAATTTGCGCCTGCGCTGTCGTCCGAGGTGCAACACCCAGCTTCACCCAAGATTTCATCCGAAGATGTGGGATTGCCAAAGTCACTCTTGCCTGAGGCCGAACATGAAGAGACGAAGCTTCCGATTACGACTGCTCGGCTGCCTGAGGATGTTGAGCTGCCGATGTCGCCTGAGGTTGAAGTCCCGACTCTCGCCCACGAAGTCATCCAGAGTCCCGGCGATCAATCTGACAACATCCACGAAATTTCATCTTCGCCCAAGATCGCGCCTGCGGACATCGAACTCCCAACCTCGCCTGTCGAAGAAATCTTACCCGCATCTGAAGAACTCCCCACCTCTCCCGAAAACCAAGTCCTAGACTCATCCAAGACACTCCCTGGAGATTCTGGTTTGCCCGAGTCACATTTGACCGAGGCGGAAGTTGAAGAAGATATGGATCTTCCAACGGCTGCTGAGCAGGACGACCAAATCGTCGACGAACAATCTGATGATAATTTCCAAGTTTCTGCTTCGCACAAGATTGTTCCCGAGGAAGTTGAACTCCCCCGCTCGCCTTCTTCGCCTGTGGTGGGGGACTTGGATGTCGATGAGATGCAGCACCTACACTCGAGTCAGATTATCCCGCCGCATGTTCAGCGGTCGGTATCCCCTGCAGTAATTCATGAAGAGGTGCAATCCCTGACCTTGTCAGAGACTGGTTCCGAGGAGGTTGACGTTCCTGCTTCTCCTGTAAAGGAGGCCGCGACTGAGGATGTTGAGCTTCCGCGCTCACCCGTGCCTGAGAATGTGGAACTGGATGTCGATGAGATTCAGCACTTGCATTCTAGTCAGATTATTCCTCCGCATGTTCAGCGCGCGGCTTCGCCTGAGATTGGTCCTGAGGAGGTTGATGTTCCTGCTTCAACTTTGACTGAAACTGCATCCAAGGAGGATGAACTTCCTGCTTCCCCCGAGAACGAGGCCACTCCTGAGACTATCGAAGCCCAAAGATCGCCATCGCCCGCGGCTGAGTTGGATGTTACCGAGCTTCAGCACCTACACTCGAGTCAGATTCTTCCTCCACATGTTCAGCGGGCGGCTTCGGCTGAGATTGGTCCTGAGGAGGTTGAGGTTCCTGCTTCAACTTTGACTGAGACTGCACCCGAAGAGGTTGAAGTTCCTCACTCATCCTCGCCCGGCGCTGAACTGGACGTTACTGAGATTCAGCACTTGCACTCGAGCCAGATTCTTCCTCCACACATTCAGCGTGCGGATTCGACCTGGGGTGAGGTTGAGCCTGAGGACGTTGAGCTTCCAAAGGCGCCTCTGAAGGAGATCACACCCGAAGAGGTTCAAATGCCGGTTTCGCCCAATGTTGTTTCTGAAGAAGTTGAGAATCTAGAGTCAACTCCATCTTCGCCTAAGCTCGCATCCGAAGAAGTCGAGATTCCGCGCTCACCTTCGCCTGCAGAAAACCTGGATATTACCGAGCTTCAACATCAGCATTCGACTCAGATCATTCCTCCCCATCTCCAACGCTCCGTGTCGCCTACAGTCCAGGCCCAGGCCGTTCCCGAAGACATTGAGCTCCCTGCTTCGCCATTGGCAAAGTTCACACCTGAGGAGGTTGAACTGCCACGTTCATCTTCACCGGTGGAGGCGAAATTGAATGTCGTCGAAATGCAGCATGGACACTCGGCTCAGATCCTTCCCCTGTACGTTCAGCGTGCTGATTCAACTTGGGGTGAGGTTGATCTTGAGGACGTTGATCTTCCGATTGCGCCTCTGAAGGAGATCACACCCGCGGAGGTTGAGCTCCCAGGATCGCCATCGTCCGTCAAAGATGAATTGGATGGTGCCGAGCTTCAATCTGCTCCCGAAGAAGTTGAGCTCCCAGCTTCTGAGCCTACCTCGCCCAAGATCACACCGGAAGAAATTGAGGCACCGCGCTCGCCGTCGCCTTTCGACGAGTCCAAGATCACTGAGCTTCAGCATCTGCATTCGGCCCAGATTATTCCCAGGAATATCCACTATGCGACTTCCTCTTCCGGCTCGCCAAAGATCACTCCGGAGGAAGTTGAACTGCCTGCTTCGCCTGTGGATGAAGTGGACGTTGATGAACTTCAGCGATTCCACTCAAGCCAGATCATCCCGCCACATATTGAGCGCTCCGCTTCGCCAACTATTGAGGAGGTTATCCCTGAGGAGGTTGAACTTCCGGGTCCCCCTCAGGTTGTTCCAGATGCCGAGGAAGTGGAAAATTCCGCTTTGCCTGAGCCAAAGTCTGACGCTGAGCCTAAGATGGCACCTGAGGAGATTGAACTTCCTGCTTCGCCTGTGGAGCAAGTGGACACTGAGCAGCTGCAACATTTGCACTCGCGCCAGATTATCCCACCACATATCCAGCGTCCCGCCTCGCCTTCTGTTGACACTCAACTTCCGGCCTCACCTAAGGTTACTCCTGAAGAGGTAGAACTTCCAGCTTCACCTGAACTTGTCCCTCAAGACATCGAGCTTCCACTTTCTCCCATGGCTGAGCCCCAGGAACCTGAGCATACCCAACTTCCAATTGCTACCGAGGAGGCTGGGTCCAGCGTTGATCAGCAACTCGATGACTTGGAGGAGGATGATGCTAGGAGTGCCGCTCTTGAACTCCCATCCTCTCCTGAAGTCAAGGCCGAAGTCCAGTCTGATGAGCTAGAACTCCCTCTTTCGCCTGCTTTGGAGCCTGAGGAGGTTGAGCTTCCTGCTTCTCCTAAGGTTGTTCCTGAAGAAGTTGAATTGCCGGTATCCCCGGTGGATGGGTTGGATGACGAGCAGCTTCCAGTTGAGCGCGGCATCAGTGCTGAGCACGATAATGGTCCCGAACAAGATGTGCTGGAGAGTGCCGCTATTGAACTCCCCGCCTCGCCTAAGATTGTTCCTGAAGAAGTCGAACTCCCACTTTCTCCCAAGATAACCCCTGAAGAGGTAGAACTTCCCGCTTCTCCTGTGGCCGAGACAGAAGAACAGCCCGCAACCGTCTCTGAGCCGTTCGAACGGAACATCAATCTTGAAGCCGACATTGCCCCACAAGAGGACATCGAGCCCTCGTCCTCTCCTGTGACAAAGCCCGAGGATGTCGAGCTTCCTTCCTCTCCCGAAGTCGTCCCTGAAGATGTGGAACTTCCCCTCTCTCCTATCGTTGAGTTGGAACGTCAGCTCCCCATTGAGCCTGTCACCTTCGAGCTCCCATCTTCGCCCAAACCTAAGCCCGAGGACCTTGAGCTACCTCCTTCGCCTGAGATCGTTCCCGAAGAGGTAGAGCTGCCCGCTTCTCCCGTTGTTAACTTGGCAGATGAACAGCTGCCAGTCGAGCCTGAGACATCTGCAGGGGCCATTGAAGTTTCCGAGGAAGATAGCGAACTCCCGTCTACGCCAATTGTCAAGCCTGAGGACTTGGAGCTCCCTGCTTCTCCTGAGGTGCTTGCTCAAGATGTGGAACTTCCTCCTTCGCCTGTCACCTTACCCGAAGATGTGGAACTTCCGCCTTCTCCGGTGGTTGACTTGGAACGTGAGCAACCTCTCGATCTTTCTCACGTTCAAGAGCAGCAAGGCGAAGAGCAGCTTGACAAGCACACTGCTCCCGAAGATTCGCCCGTCCTTCTACCCAAAGACGTGGAGCATCCGGCTTCACCTGCGACAGAATCCGAGCCAGAACCAATTGAACCTGTCCGACAGAGCTTCGACTCGGACCTCTACTACGATGCTGTTGACGGCAAGGGCAAACAACCTGCAACCGGTGCTGAGGAACTAACGCAACAGGGCGATGCAGCAAAGACCGATCCGGCACAGAAATGGGAAATGGTCGACAATGTCGACGATGTTGATGATCTTGATTCTATTGACGGTGCCGATTCAGAGATCTCGGAAAACGGCCTACTCACCGAGGTCCCAACAAGTAAGCAACCGAACCAACCAAAACCAACCCGAGAACGGGAAGAGGTGGCTGCTGCGATCGAGCGATCGGAAGATGATGCCCCCATCATACCTCGAGACCCTTCAAGTACTACTACTACTACTACTGGCGACGGACATCATGCTGACATTCTCAGCCGCGAAGCAGAAGACAATGTGGACCTTCGTCGGTCAGCTGGTGGGTCGCCAGTTCCAACTTCCACGTCGATAGCAGCAGCCACCGCCGCAGCAGGAGCAGCAGCACTCGCTGCGGCCACCGTGAATGAGCTCCTTACAACACCGACCAAAGACGATGAACCGGAACTGGAAGCGACCGTTGAGGTCCACCCCGCCGTCAAGGGTGCCATCAATAGAGGCTTCGATGAGTACGATTATGCTACTGCCTTATCTCCCACTACAGTCGGCCTCGGTCTCATTGAGGACGCCCCCATGGATCTCTACCCTACGGATGGGCCCTCTCCCAAGCTTCTCTCCGCTTCCACCTTCCCTCTCGAGGAAGCTGGAGATGATGACGGCGATTACTTCAATAACGTCGAGTTGCCCGAGGGTGCTATTTTCGAAGAACTTCCTTCCGAGGCGGAGGAGCCTGCTCACGAGCACGCCAGCCACTTCACTCATGACCCGCCCTCCGAGCCCGAGGAGCATGAAGTTAAGAAACCTCGGAAGTCCATCGACGAAACGCAAGGATTTGAGACCCTATTCGCTCCCCGCACGCCCATGCCATACGCCTCAACAAGGGAGACACTAGTCAAAGAATCTCCCAAGCCCGCTGCCCCGTCTCCGTCCACCACCGAACAGACACGCCAACCCCCCCAGCAGGCAGAGCCAGTCAGACACAAGCGCATCAGGTCCACCGAGCCAGCACGCCTCAACAACGAAGCCCTCGCAGCGTCTCTCTCACCACGCGCCAAATCCTCATCAGTTAGAAACTCGTGGCCCGCTTTTACTACTACTGGAAAAGCCAAAGCGCTCGCCGCTTCCTTCCTCGAGTCTTCCTCCGTCAACCGTGGCTCTTCCCCTGTTACGCCCCGCTTCCCGCCATCGGCATCATCCATGCACCAGCAGCAACCACCAGTCTCAGTTCTGCTCAAAGAACAAACCCAGCGCCAGTCGCGCGAACTCGCAGCCAATTATCTCGAGACATTCGCAGACGATCGTAAAGTCCGATCCAAATCCAGACCACGTCAGCCATCTTTTTTTGGTGGACATACGGCACCCAACGCCGCCAATAGGGTGGTGCCGGTGCCAGTTGACTTGGATTCGTTGGGAGAGACTATCGTTCCCGAGAAGGAAGAGCCGACTCGGCCTCCCTCTGTCAGCTCGGTAGACTCTATGGGGTCGCCGACGGGTCAGGGACAGGCACAGGACCAGTCTATGGCTTTAGAGATGGCTGTTTCGTACCTGGACGATGAAGGAGAGGACGTCGGTGCTGTTCCGATGGTGGTTACACCTGGCGTGGGAATGGAAATTACGCCTAGCCCGGAGAGTTCGCCTGGGTTGCAGCCGGAAGAGGAGGAAAGAACAAGGGAGCGCGAGGCCGAGGTAAAGGTTGCGCAAGAGCCTGAGCCGGAGCCTGAACCTGAACCTGAGCCGGCAGCAGAAGATGATGAACATGATGCTTCTCCCGAGTGGGGACGAGGAATGTCTCTGCCTAGTGTGGAAATTCAGCCCGCTACTCCTAGGGCTGTACTCGAAGAAGAGGAGGAAGAGGTTGAGTCTTTGTTTGACATTCCTGTGCAACCTGTGCATGCGCATGAGGTTGAGACTCTGTCGACGGTGATGGAGGAGTCGGAGCCTACTGATGAGGAGGAGGAATCTACGTCGGCGCCGGCGCATACACATGAGGCGCCTGTTATTGACAAGTCTGAACATGATGAGCGCTCTGCTTCACCTGAGATCCACGAGGAATCTCAAGACAGTCCGTCGGTTGAGATTGACGTTGATGAGCTCCATCGGTTGCATTCACGACAAGTCGTTCCATCTAACCTACAACGTCAGGTCCCGTCATCGCCCATAATCAAGCCCGAAGAGGTTGAGCTCCCTTCCTCGCCTGAACTCCACGGGGCATCTCAAGATACTCCAGCGGATATCGACATTGTTGAGCTGCAGCAATTGCATTCAGGACAAATCCTTCCGCCTAACCTACAACGTTATATTGCTGAGCTCCAGCGGTTGCATTCAAGACAAATCGTTCCGCCTAACTTGCAGCGTCAGGTCCCGTTATCGCCTGAAATCAAGCCCGAAGAGATTGAACTCCCTTCCTCACCTGAACTTCACAAGGAATCTCATACTACTCCAGCCGACATCAACATCACTGAGCTCCAGCAATTACACTCAAGGCAAATCATTCCGCCCAACTTACAGCATCCGGCATCACCCCCTTCCCACATCAAGCCAGAAGAGGTTGAGCTCCCTTCCTCGCCTGAAACCGCTGAGGAACCTCTACACAATCCCGCGTTTATCGATACTGCTGAGCTCCAGCAGTTGCATTCAAGACAAATCCTTCCACCTAATCTACAACGTCATATCGCTGAGCTCCAGCGGTTACATTCAAGACAAATCCTTCCGCCTTACCTAGAACGTTATATTGCTGAGCTCCAGCAGTTACATTCAAGACAAATCGTTCCGCCTAACCTACAACGTCAGGCCTCACCCTCGCCTCCTCCCCAAATCAAACCCGAAGAGGTTGAGCTCCCTTCCTCGCCTAAAATCCCCGAGGAACCTCAAAATACTCCAGGGGACATCGACATTGTTGAGCTCCAGCAATTGCATTCAGGACAAATCCTTCCGCCTAACCTACAACGTTATATCGCTGAGCTCCAGCAGTTACACTCAAGACAGATTCTCCCGCCCAGTCTACAGCGCCAGACCTCACCCTCGCCTCCTCCCCACATCGAGCCCGAAGAGGTTGAACTCCCTTCCTCGCCTGCCCTGAAGCCGGAGGACGTGGAACTTCCTAGTTCCCCAGTGGAGGAAACAATCCCTATTATCGCTACAGGCTTGGTTGCCGCTGGACTTACGCTTGCTTCCGAGGTTTCGAAGGACAACAAAGATCATTCTGATGATGAGGAGGATGAGAACGATTCCGCACCTGCTTCTCCACAACCAGTCGAAGATCACAGCAGCAGCAGACATGTGGATGACGAGTTCGAGGACTTTTACCGTCCTGCCACGCCAAAGGTGTACCCTGAGGAAATTGAACTCCCTGCTTCCCCCGAGATCATCAAGCCCCAGGATATCGAGTTGCCTGTCTCGCCTCGGAGTGTTCCTGAGGAGGTTGAGCTTCCTTCTTCGCCTATCAATGAACCTGAGGAAGTTGAGCTTCCTGCTTCGCCTGTCAATGAACCTGAAGACGTGCAAGTTGCCTCTGATTCTGAGTCCGAGGCGGATGAGCAAGACATGACGACGCCAATTATTGAAGCTCATGTTGCAAAGCCCGAGGAGATTGAACTACCTTCATCTCCTGCAATTGTACCTGAGGACATCGAACTTCCTTCCTCACCTCAAATTGTTCCTCGGGAGGTTGAGCTTCCTTCTTCGCCTGCCAACGAACTCGAAGATGCAGAGCTCTCCTCTGACTCTGACTCCGAGGCGGACGAAGACAGTACGCCAATTGTTGAAGCTCATGCCACGAAGCCCGAGGAGGTTGAACTCCCTTCATCTCCTGCCATTGAAGCCAGGAATATTCAGCTTCCATCTTCTTCTGTCGAACCTGAAAATGCAGAGCTCGCCTCTGACTCTGACTCTAGCTCCGAGGCAGATGCCACAAAGCTCGAGGAAATCGAACTACCATCATCTCCCGCAATGGTACCTGAGGAGATCGAACTTCCAGCTTCCCCTATTGTCCAGGCCGAACAAATCGAAGTCCCCTCTACACCTGAGCCTGAACATGAGCATGAGTTCCACTCTGAGCCTGAACAAGAAACGACAACCCACCCTCTACTCGACTCGGAAGCGGAATATGAAGATGAAGAAGACGATGACTACGACCCGCTAGCCGACCTCCTCCCGTCTCCGGATATGAGCCCAGCACAACACCACGAGCGCTACGAGCGGGAACTTCCGCATCCGCATCCACTCATGATGCACCCTGTCGACTACTCAGCCCCTCAACAACACGGGTATGAAGAATCAGAGGAGGTTCATACCCCAGTGTATACTGAACCGGTCGAGTTTTGGCATTCGCCCGAGTTGAGGTACCATTGCTCACCGGAGCTGAGATCAGCAGATCAAGAGTTTGCGTCTTTCCCTGAGGTCAATCCCGAGGATGTGCAGCTGCCTGCATCGCCTGATTATGGTGCGGAGGAGGAAGAGGAAGAGGATGAAGGATTGTCTCGTGACGTGCCAGCAGACGATGACGAATGGGAGAGCGAAAGCGGAAGCGGAAGCGAGGAATATGATCGTGATGATGGTAAGCAGTGCTTTTTAATATGTCAGACAGACATGGGATAATGGAACATGTTGCTAATTTTCATCTAAATGCAGAACATCAAGTTCACCAAGCACAAAGCGTCGCAATCGTGGCTGGCACCGTTGCCGTGCTTGGCGGCGCTGCGCTCGTCGCGAATAGTTTGAAGAAAGAAGAGAGAGCGGAGGAACAGATTGATAGTGAAAATGATGAAGAGCGTGAGGAGACAGACAGTGAGGATGATGAAGAGAAGGATAGAAGTGAGGATGAAGACGACCAAGTCAAACCCGTCGCGGTCACGCGGAGTGATGACAAGCGAGAAGACAGTGAGGAGGAAGAATCGGACGGAGAGCCTGGTGAGAGGGATGCACGGTCTGGAGACGACCTTGAAGATGAAGAAGCAGGTGAAGAGGACGTAGAGGATGTCCAGGGTGGGGACAACGAGGATCTTCACGAACCGAGTCTCGACCGCCAAGATTCCGAGACCGTTCCCAAGGCCATCAGAGAAGGAGCGCCGATGCCGTGGGCAATGAAGAGCAATCGTCGGGAAGATTCCAGCTCCCCTCCCCCGGCTGAGCAACGCAGGTTTTCCTTCCCTGACGACATTGCGGAAGAGGAAGCATTTGCCGTCAGTCGCTCAAACACGGCGATTGAAGGTGGTGGTGACACGAAGCATGGGGAAGGTCCGGCAGGCAGTCACGCGACATCGGATCAAAGTCATCAACATCAACAAACGCCCAGCGCGCCCATGTCCACTATCTCAGACTATGCGCATTCCTGCAACAGCCTACCGACGTTGCAAGAGGAAGACTGGGCAACGGATGACGACAGGAACAGGCACGACAAGGACGGCGATTCACCCGTCAACAAAGCCAATATCACGGGACTTTTCAGATACGGAACTCCCATCGCGGATCCCAACCGTGATAGCACTTTTACCGTGGCGGCCCGGGGCTCACCGCAAATGTCCCGGTACGCAGTGTTCAACGAGCAGTATCATCAACAGCAACTTGAACGACAAGCTCAAATCCAGGAGGAAGATCTGCGAGAGAGAGGGGTTGATCTACGGGATTTTGCCAATAGCCCATCTGCCGGCAGTGATCGGACCGAGACTGGTCCTTCGTCTCCTCAGAGAACTGCTGAGACTCCCAAGGTGCAGGAGCCAGTGCCTGAGAGCCTCAAGGGCAATGTGGAAGTCGTCAAGGAGCAGCATTCTAGCGAGAAGGCAAGGAAAGAAACACCGCAAGACAAGCCTGAGCAGCACATTCCCAAAACCTTGCCAGGCCTGGGAGTGGCGCTGAGGCCAACAGGCGCTTTGCGGAGCGTCTCGGACATCAGCAAGCAGCTGCAATCAGCACTTTCAGGCCAATCACCATCACCGGTTGCCCGGCCAATCCCTTCCAACACTGGTGTTGCACGACTGCGCACTCCCGAACCACTGAGTGCCACCAACAATAACAACAACCTCAACTTGCGGCCTGACAGTCCAGGCAGCAGCAGCATCAGCATCAGCAGCACCAGCCGGTCTCACACAAGCACTCCCCCGCTCAGGCGGATGGACAAGCGAGCCACTGGCAACCTGCGCTCCCTCTCCTTTGGCAGCCAACAGGATGCCGCCGCCAAGTCGGCATTCCTTGGTACACTTGCAGAAGGGGAGGGAGGAGCCCCGGCCGATGCTGAAGGGCCAGGTTCCAGAAGCAGCATTGGCCCTGTCAGCCCAACAACCCCCTCGCGTGCTCAACCCCCCCGGCCTGGCAGTGACACATCGGGATCGTCGCCGACGGCTGCCCCTGCTGCCCCCCACCAAAGCCAGGCCCCAGCCACCCCTAGTCCTCCCCGGCCCAACACTAGCAGGGCCACCAGCGCTAACAGCGTAATCCCTGGTGCAGTTGCCCCTGCCCTGGCATTGGGCACCACCAGCCCTGTTGCCGATGGTGGTGACGACAACACCAACAACAACCTCGTCGACAAGGACAAGAGCAAAGACAAGCAGCAGCAGCAGCAGCACAAACAAGCTGTGACAACGCCCCGGGCTCTTTCTGTCGCATCTGCCACGCCCGTCGCCAATGAAGGCCGCACCCGATCTAAGGGGTCAATGGATGTGCCCGACGTTTATGTAAGTGTTTTGTCCCGCATTGAAAACTGCTGTGTGAAAAGCAACGCTGACACAACAATTGCTCCAACAGGATGGCTTAGGCGAAGGTCGCCTGGGATCCCCGCGATCACCTGCCCGCCCGCCCAGCTTGCGCAAACGACACAGTGCCCAGCTCATTGACCTGGAAGCCAGACTTGCCCAGTTGATGGCCGAGAATGCCGCGCTGCAAAAAGCCAAAAATGACGCCGAAGCTGAACTGTCCCAACGCAATGCCGACCTGGCCAGCATCCTTGCCGATAAGAATGTCGAGATTGAGAACCTCCAGCGGGAAATCCAAGAAACCCAAGAAACCTGCAACCGGCTCGAGGAGACATATGAGGGCCTGAAGACTTCCACCTCGGCCATCGCTGTCAAGCACAACGAGACGGTGCGCGCTCTCGAAGAACAAGTCAAGAAAGCCGCCGAGGAACTGGCCGCCGCTCAAGGCAATCACGAACAGGTATACACCAAGGCTATTGCAGAGAAGGATGCCCAGATCGCCCACCTCCGCGCCCAATTGAACGCTCAAACCGCCCAGATTCGCGAGCTGCAGGAGCAAATCGATAGCCAACAGATTGCCCGGTCACCGGAACCCACCGCAACAGACGACTTCCTCGACCTCCACGACGTCGACTACTTCGACCAGCGCCTGTCCCAGCTCTGCGCCCACGTCCAGCAATGGGTCCTCCGCTTTTCCAAGTTCAGCGACATGCGCCACTGCCGACTGACCTCGGAGATCAACGATGAAAAACTCATCGATCGCCTCGACAACGCCGTCCTCGACGGCTCCGACGTCGACGTCTACCTGGCTGATCGCGTGCGCCGCCGCGACGTTCTCATGTCCATGACCATGACCATGATCTACGAATTCGTCTTCACCCGCTTCTTGTTTGGTATGGACCGCGACCAGCGCCAGCGCCTCAAGTACCTCGAGAAACAACTATCGGAGACCGGACCCGTGCACGCCGTCCGCCAATGGCGCGCCGTCACTTTGACTCTGCTCAGCCAACGAAGGAATTACAAATCGCAGCGTGATCGCGACACGGAAGCAGTCGTCCAAGCTATTCTTGACGCATTGGATAAGATCCTCCCGCCTCCTTCGGACAAGGAAAAGGTCATTTTGGACCAACTGCGCCGTGTGGTGCGGGAAGCAGTGAAACTCTCAATTGAAATGCGAACCCAGCGCGCAGAGTATATCATGCTCCCGCCGCTGCAGCCGGAGTACGACGAGAGCGGCGAGTTGGTTGAGACGGTCAGCTTCAATGCCGCGCTGATGAATGAAAGGAGCGGGGATGTGGATGTTCCGAGCCCCGAAGAACTGGAGAGGCAGAGGGCTACGGTTCGAGTGGTGCTGTTCCCGCTGGTGATTAGAAAGGGGGATGATTGGGGGAGGGGAGACGATGAGGTGGTGGTTTGTCCGGCGCAGGTGTTGGTGCAGAGGCCGAGGAAGCAGAGGAGTGCTGCGGGTGGGAGGGTTGTTAGTGGTCAGAAGGCGCGGGAGCCGGTGGCGCAGGGGATGAAGGGGGGAGATGAGATGATGGGTGGGATGGGAAGTCAGGTTTGATTGTCTGATGGATGATGGGTGGATGGAAGCGCTGATGGATGGGATATAATATAGAAAATGGAAAATGGAAGATGGAGGGGGAGGAGGAAAGGAACGGGAAGGAGAGATAGACAGGAAAGAAAGAAGGATGGAAGGAAGGAAAAGATGACGATGAGATGACCTAAAAAGAATCTTCTTACTTACTTGGTAATTTCCTGTCTTGTCGTTGCTGTTTAGTCTTACTTTGTTTTATTGTTTTCAGTTATTATTTACTCGGTCGATGGTCGTCGGAGTTGGTAGGCGCAAATCTAACTTTGCTTTGCTTTGCTTTGCTTTGCTTTGCTTTGCTTTTTGTCTTGAATTGGGTTGTGATATGTTGTTTTCGAATTTGGATCTTCGCTTTTTTTCGTGGACGAAGGATAGACCTACCTACGAATATGAATGAACCTGCTTTTGCACTTCCGCCATCACTTGTCTACCTTAGGTGTGGTTCTTGTCGTGGTGGAGCTGTTGATAACATGTAGGTAAGTAAGGAAGTGAGAGGTAATGATGACATGTTATTATGGTTAATGAATCTCACGCAACATAAGTACATAAGTGAAGTTAGTACTTTGGTATAATATCTCCCCTACCTACCTACCCTCCTCGTCCGAGACAAAATAGTTGAGACCTTAACATTGTACTTTAGATACTTGGTATGCTCTGACTACGTATCTAAGCAAGCGTCTTTGTTACACCTATGATCACAATTCTAAGCAATTATTCCTAGACAAAAATATCCAAATAGAACTATAGCCGATGTCTTCTGAAGTTTTGTACTTCTTGTTATATTCTGCAGCGGCCTTTTTTTTCTCCTTATCTTTTCTTCTCTTTCTTTTCTCTTTCTTTTCTCATTTTTTTTTTTTTTTTAAAAAAAAACCTTAATGAGCGGTATCAAACTGGTTTACCCAACCTAACTTGCTAGTTGGCCCAACTATTTCATCCAGGACGAACCTACCTACCTACCCCCTGACTGTTTGACTGCCTACCTACCTATACAAACCGAAATGGAGTAGAACCTATACTAATACAAGAAGAACCTCCTACTCAACGTATGTAAGCTGGGTAAGTAACCAGGAGCAGCGGATCTGGAGACTGGAGGTGGTAGCAGCAGCAGCAGCAGCAGTAGTAGTTGCTTTAGTTGCTGTATAAAGTGGAAGGTTCGAGATGAAGACCCAAACACCACTCACAGTTAATAACACCCACCATGGAAAAATATAACCAGCGAGAGTAGGGAATAAATTCATTGATCACCTAGACATACTTCCTCAGCGAGATACTAATCTGAGCCGATTCTTCAAAGAGAATAAACAAGGTTACAAGCTATACTTGGCGAGACATGTCTGATTCAGATCATAAAAGCTGAAAGCGGACTTACCTCTAAACGGAACGGGTTACTTCATTCATTCTACTGAACATTTCTCTTGTCTTGTCATGCCTCCTTCTATAGCTAGCTCTCGTCTTGTCATGCCTCCTTCTATAGCTAGCTCCCATTTCTGAGGAAGCTCTCTGAGGAGGGGCAGATCACCCACCCACCCACCTCCTTCGTTGTAACCTCGAACCAGTCAGTACTTCTTCTATGACCAGACCAAGGAAGTCCACTACCTCTTTACCTAACGGGGAGGCGAGGAGCGGATCTTGGGGTGGGCACATAACCTCGGAACATACTCCATTGGTTTATTTACTTTGTTTACATTGTTTACATTGTTAAGCAAAGAAGGAGGGAGGTAGGTAGGTACCTAGCCAGGGGTTGAAAACGCCATAAAAGTTTTCTCTGGAGAGGTAGATAGTTTAGCTGTCTATCTGTCTAGCTGTCTGTCATGGCCATGGTCATGGTGATTTAGTATTTAGTCCGCTGTCTTCTCATTCATCATCCCTCTTCATTCATGTTGTCCTTTTTATTTTTTTGTCATGTTCTCCATACTGTTCTCCCCACCAGAAAGGTCTGTGGTTTGTGGGCTGTGAAAGCTAGATAGCATGACTTGTTAGCTTTTGTGGTTTTTAAGGGAGAGGAGAGGAAATGAGAGGAGAGGAAATGAGAGGAGAGTAAAGGAGGGAAATGAAAGGTGAAAAAAAAAAAGGGGGGGGGGGGGGGAGGGGAGAAGGGCAAAAAGCTCGTCTGCATTCTTACGGAAAAAAAAACATCAACGCGTTGTCTTACATCTAGCTACCAACCAGCACATCAGTGTACCCCGTCGGCTAAGTACTGGGAGTTATTTCTTTTAGAAGCGACTGAACTTGGAACCTACTTAGTCCCAGTGTAGTGGTCTCCGTAAAGGAAGGTCCTGCCTGCCGCTATAAAGCCCCTCGTACGTGTGTCAGCAATGAAATACGGCGGAGTTGATGATTCTTCGATCGGTGATATACATATCACAGCATTTCACACATCTCCAATTACTGCTCATCCATGTCTTTACTCATTCCAGTTTGAGGCCATCTATTTTGGGTGCACCAGTTAAAGCTATGTACATTGAACACCCACAAACAACCAACTCATCCACTCATCCACTCATTATCGAACTACCTATTACATAGAAAAAGTACATATACAGTATATACTTTTGACATTTTTTTTGCATACTTGCCCCCTTCACCTTGGCATGTTCCTTTTTCTCTTCCTTCCCTTTTTGGTTTCCCTACGCTACCTACCGACTCTCCCATTCTATGCCCATCCCCTCATCTAGGTAACTACGCACTCTTTGTCTCCCCTGTCGTCGTCGTCGTCCTCGGCTTTCTCTCCCACCCAGTCTTCAACAACCTCCCCACCTCAAAAACCGGCAACGGATGCGCCTCGGTATTAAACACGACCTTGTCCAGCGGCAACAGATCCTCCGGACTGAACAGCAAATAAAAGTACTTGAGCGTCTCCGCCATCCAGAAGCTCTCCATATTATCCTTGATCACAGGCGGTATGACATTTGCATTCGACAAGCTCGTAAACCCGCCGCCATCTTCGACAGCAGTGTAGTTGACAAACGACTTGAACATGTCCCATCCCCACTCGCGGTACTTGACGTCGCCCGTGATGCGGTACATGTAGAAGAGGGACTCGACCGTTTCGGGCCGTTGGAGGTTATGAGCGTCCATTTGGTGGACTTCGTAATCTTTGCGCCAGGTCGCGTCAGGGCCGGCGGGGTCGTCGAAGATGGAATCGGGCGGGGAAGTGTGCGAGGAGGACTCCGGCAAGGGGTCGGAGGGGATCTTAAAGTAGGTGATTTCTGCGGCGAGACCCGTCGCCATGTACCGGTACATGCCCCAGCACGTCTGCATCAGCTCGCGGGCGAGCTTCATGTCGGCCTCGCGTTGCTTGTTCCAGAAGCCGGGCTTCTTGCGGGCTTCGCGCTCCGAAAGGCCTTCGGTGGCGGCGAGGGCAATGGTTCCCGGGAGGAAGCAGACGAGGTGGTCCATTTTGGGAGACAAGTTGCCCTCGAGACCCGAGGGACGTTCGCCGACAATGGTGAACCCGCTGTTTTCGGTGTAGGTGACTAAGTGCTTGCGGATGCCCTGGAGAGCGTCGTTCCACATGTCTTGGTAGATGGGTTCGGCCTTATGGGTTTGCAGGTACTGCTTGATCAGGTATTCGTAGTAGGAATCGCCGCGCGAGCCGAGCCGGATGTTTTGGGTATGGAAGTGGCCGGTGCTGGGCTGGATGAAGATGGGCACGAGGCCATCGGGGGCTTGGTTGTCGTCTATCACTTTCATGACCTTTTCGGAGCGATCCCAAAAGTCCTTTTCGCCTGTCAGGTTGGCGAGGTACTTGAATTCGAGCTGGAGGGTGGTGGCTTCGGCGGTGGAAGAGGCACCCATGTCGGCGTGCGAGGGCAGGCCTTGGAATTTACCGAGGTTGACACTGGCGTAGGGAATGCCAGAGGGCGTGTCGAAGGCGGACATGAGGCGGTCGGCGAGGTCGCGGGCCTTTTCGAGGTAAAGGTCCTCACCGGGGGCGCCCACGTCGTCATCGGAGATGGGCGCTAGGTTCGGGTACTCGGTGCTGAGGTAGTAAGCCGACAAGAGACCGCCCATCATGCGGATGGTCGTCTCAAAGGTGTTGACATCTTGATCCTGGTCCCAGGTCAACGACTTGGAGATCCACTCGCGAGCATGAGTAACCCGCGAGGTCAAGTTCATGATCATCAAGGTATCTAACGAATCAATAATGATCCAACCCAAACCCTTGGGGGCCATGTTCCGGCCCGTCTTGGACACGGGGTGAAACTCGTCATAACCTAGTCACAAGTTAGCTTTACCCTATAGTCACAACACCAACCCTTCTTCAGAGACATACCCCAGGCATATCTCTCATAAGCATCCCAACTCAGCTCCATAGCCTCAACAACCCTCTCCCTCCTCTTCAACCAATCCGCCTTACTCCTCGCCTTTGTATCCGAGCTCAACCACCCCCAATCGCCCAGCTTCGCCCTGGCTCGTTCATGATGCTCATCAAAGAAGCCCGTAAACCACAACAGCCCCAGCACCACCAATATAAATAACCCCAACACCCTCTTTTTCCTCAACAGCGGCCTAGGTCTCGCTCCTCCGGGGCCATATCCATACGGCTTATCCTTGTACATGGGTAACGACCTTCGATCCGGGTTTAGGAATCCTCCGACTTTATCTTGTACTCCCCCTAGCACTCCTCCTGCTCCTGCTACTGGTCCAGCCCGTTGACGGGTAGCAGCAGCCCACAGTCGATCTTCAGCTTGGCGCGCCGGGTCCGTAAACGACGGGACGTGTCGTGGGATCGAAAAAGAGGCCATGTCCCCTCCTTGTTCGTATTCTTCTTCTTCTACTTCTGTGTCTTCCTCGTCGTATGTCTCTTCCGCAGCAGCAGCAGCAGCAGCAGCTGGCAGTAAGGTGCCCTGCTCTAAATCCGACTGTGACTGGCTCTGAAAGGCAGTGTGGTCAAGCGCCCTCTTGACTTCCTTTGCGGCGGCTTCGACGGCGTCGCGGGTGCGTTCAGCGGCCTGCTCTGCGAATTCGGCGGCTTTGGCAGCGGTCTCGACAGCCTGCTGGGCGGCTTTCTCGGCACGGTCGCGGAACTCGGTGGCGGCAGTGGTGGCGGTTGCGCGGAGGATGTTGATGGCGGCAATGGTACCGGGGCGGTTGAGGGAGAGGTTGTGGAGGTTGAATGGATCGCGGACGCGGTTCATTGAGGAGGAGGTACCCTGGAGGGGAACTGAACCGTTGGCGCTATAGAGGTAGTTGGGGCAGTTTCATTGGGGGACGGCAATGTCTTGGTAGGTGCCCGTGGTGCTGTTAGTGCACTTTGGGTCTTGAATGGTGCTGGATTGAGACAATGGATTGGAATCGCCACGGTATTAGTTCTTGGTCATTAGGTAGGTAAAGGCAGGTATGGATTAAGCAAGAGCTGGCAATTGTATAAATTGGAATAGATGGAAGGTATTCACATGCGAAAGGGAGCAGCAGTCTCTCAAGTTAAAGGCACTTTGAAGGATTTCCCCCGAACTTTGTATTTCCCAAATTTGAGCGGTCAAGCTGCACAAGGAAGGAGAACTGCGGCGTGGACCTAGCATGGAGCTGTGCTTCCATCCCTTCCATTACATCCGGGCGCTCTTACTTCCACTTCTGGAAGTGCCTGACATGTCTTTGCACATGTACCTACATAGGGGTTGTGTATTTATAACCTGCCAATAGTCAGAGGTACTTTCACCAGCCGAATGCAGAAGTTGTGGTGATTGCTTTCATATCAGCCCGAGATAACGAGAATCATGCAAGAAACCAAGAACCTTGCTGACCTCTTACACTACACAGTATGTACACTACGCCAAAAAGGACAGCTTGAGCTTGGACGCGTCAAGTTCCCTTGCGACGTCGTGGGGCCCCGCTGTTTGTAGTGTAAAGGGGTCAGGGTTAAGAGCGTGGTACTTTGCTAGGGTTGGGTGTGTGATCAATTACTCCCGGCGGTCTCACAAACTTCCATTTCTAATGGTTGGCGTTTATGTATTGAGGTATGGTGGAATGTATGAAGGGTATGTTTTTCATGTATATGACCATGGATGAAGAAATATTAACCTTCCAAGTTGAAGTGTACGTGAAGAACAGGTGAACAACCACAATACCTCTAACTTTAAGTTACAACCCCTTATCTTATCACCCTCTCCCGTCCCGCTCACTAACACCGTCCGTAACAATTGAGTTCCACATTCGGTAACATCCCAATTTCTCCCCCATCCTTCACCACGCTTCACCACTGCACCGGCAGACCGCCCACCATCTCACCATCTCACAACCACACACCTCACCATCCAAAGCACTCTTGATCAAAATGTACTCCCTGGAAATCCAAAACTACCCCCACCTCACCCCCTCCGAATTCGCCGAGGCCGCCCACCACCTCGACCGGCGCTACAGCCAAGCGACCCTCGGCCCGCTCCGGCGCCAATGGAAGCTGCGCGTGCGCTCGGCGCTCAACACCCACTTTGTCTCTCCTTCGGATCCCGAATACAGCACTTTTATCCAAATCACGAGACCGCTCGAGGTCAATCTGGATGATGATGGGTTATCCGAGTTTTTGGATAATTTGAGTTTTTCTGAGAGGCCAGCAGCGGTAAGGGGGGATGAGGGGGAGGGGGAGGGTGTGGTTGGTGTGAGTGAGGGGATGGAGGTTGAGGATGATGATGATGAGGTATGTTTTCTTAATACATATAATGGGTTGAAGGGGTATGGGAGATGCTGATATGGGGATTTGGGAAAAAGGCCATGGTTTTGCCTTTTAAACAACAACAGCAAAAGACAAGTTATGGCTACGTCACATACGAAATACACCTTCACCCGACATATCAAGCACCTTGTCTGTGGTTTTCACTAAACGGACTGCCTGTGGATGAACCGGCCTTCAACATCGACACCGTCTTTCGACGGCTTGTACCCGATCAGTTCAAAGATGGACTTCGCCGCGCGGGTTCCGTGGGTGGTATCTCAGCTGATGTAAGTTTTCTCATCTCATCTCATCCCGTTCTTTGTATTTGTATCTTGCGATTTGAGTGGGTTCAATCTTCTCGCTGTTGGAAAACACCAAAAAGTTAACCAGGGCTGAACTCCTTTTCTCGCTCTTTGTGACTTTGTTATGAAACCTATATGAGAAGAACAAGGAGAGAGAAAGAGAGAAGAAGAAGAAAAGGTGCCTGTACTAACACACGAATGTCCCTTCTTTTGAATTATTTCGGCCATATAAACAGTATCATCCCATCACAGGCCTTCCCACCTTCTTCGTCCACCCATGTCTCCTTGGCGAGGCCATGTCGACGTTTGACAATGTCTCGATCGAGAACTACCTGATGGTTTGGCTTGGACTCGTCGGCGGCTGTGTCAGCCTTTGGATCCCCAAGGAAATGGCCTTGGAGCCTTCTTCCGCCTAAAGGAAGTGGGAGTAGCGCGGCGTATGTTGTACATGCAGCTAGCGGCGCGTCTTCTGCATTGTCCTTCGAGAGGGCGATTTTTTTTATCCATCCGCTTCATTGCGCCTTCATTTTCGTCGTCCTTCTCCACCGCGAGCTGGTATCTTAAACAGGAAGCAAATGCCATAGTGGACACCCATCAGTCCTCGTCGCTGTCTTCCTCCATAGCAACATCCGAATCGCTCTCCTCCTCTTCTTCCTCCTCCTCGCGTGGCCGCTTCGTTCCCCGGTTTTCCTCTGCCGGTGTGGTTGTCTCCGTCCCGGGAGGCTTGGCTGGCGAACCTTGTGGTGCTGGACTCTCGGTATTCGTAGTAGGGGCGCCTGGTACTGGGGCACTGAAGATGCTCTGTTGGACGGTGGTGAGGGCCACGGCGGCGGCGGCCTTGGGTGGCACGAGAGTACCGTCGAGTTTGGCGATGATGTTGGAGCGACCCTTGGCGTAGGTGATTTTCTAGGCAAACCCGAGTTAGCATGTGAAGAGCTACCGCTGAAATATTCACCCCAAGAAGTCCTACCATTTTCCTGCCCAAAAACTCCATGCCGTCAAGTGACCTCATGGCCTGTGTTGCTGTCTGAATGTCCCGGTAGACAATGTGTGCTTGCCCGCGCATCTTCATGGTCTTGAGAGCGACAACATCGAGGACGGGGCCATAGGTGGAGAAGAGCATGTACAGTGCTGTGCGAAGGTCGTCCTTTTGGATCTTGGCTGAGGGGAGGTTCGTGACGTAGAGAGTCTGGTTTGGCGGGTTCGAGACCACCTTTTGGGGGAGGCCCGCCGGGGGAGCAATACGCGTAGCCATTGCCGCGTAGGAATTCGAAAGCTGATGTTGTTGGTGTTTGTATAATGCAGGCTGTCAATTGTCGCGTAGATTTTCAGTATATCGTAGACGCCTCGTGGGAGGGGTGAATGTCTCGTCGTCGTCGCTCGGGTGTATGTATGATGTTCGGTGATCAATGAAGAATAATCCAAGTCGCGGCGCATGCGACGTCGACAATTCGGTTACTGGTCCAAAAATTGGAGACAGCGGCCAGCCTACGAACAATTGAATCGGTGCAAACCCCACGGGCGTGGGTGCAGCTCGTTCCAGTTCCAGGTGGACCAGCCCCGGCCGGCAGCACGCTTGGCGGCGTCACCCACCCGCAGCCAACCCCACTACGCTGCCGCAACGGTGCCCCTGGAGCCTGGCGGTCTGACCTCATTTCAGGCGTCCAGCCCGCTGTAGTTACGGAGCTCTCCCGCTCCCCGTTCCCGGGCACAGCCTCCCCTTTCCACTTACAACATCCGGCTCCGACACCACCGAACCAAGACATCACTCTCCGTCATCACCGTCCCCGATTCCGAGCGCGGTAGTAGAGAGCTATACTCCTATCGCATATCCTACACTTTACCAACCTCACAACTCACAATGGCTGCTCCCGAGGTCCACCATCTCTTCCACCACCCCATCGCCGACCACTCGTTCTCGGCCGATCGCCAGACCTTGGCCATTGCCCGCGACACCCAGGTCGAGCTCTACGGCAGAGTCGGCAATGCCTTCAAGCTCAAGGATGAGCTCAAAGGCCATGACAAGCTTGTCACCAGCGTCGACATTGCCCCCAACACCGGACGTATCGTGACCTGCTCTCAGGGTAGGCCCCCCTTTCGCAACCCAGGCACCCATAATTCCACCATCACATCACAGCCAACTAAACTAACAACCAACCCCAACTCACAGACCGCAACGCCCTCGTCTGGGAACCTTCCCCCACCGGCTACAAGCCCACCCTCGTGCTCCTCCGCATCTCCCGCGCCGCCACCTTCGTCCGCTGGTCTCCCTCGGAAGCCAAGTTCGCCGTCGGCTCCGGCGACCGCGTCATCGCCATCTGCTACTTTGAGGAGGAAAACGACTGGTGGGTATCCAAGCACCTGAAGAAGCCGATCCGGTCCACCATCACCTCCGTCGCCTGGCACCCCAACAGCGTTCTTCTTGCTGCCGGTTCCACCGATGCCCACGCCCGCGTCTTTTCCGCCTTCATCAAGGGCACCGACCAGCGTCCCGAGCCGAGCCCCTGGGGCGAGAGATTGCCTTTCAACACGGTCTGCGGCGAGTTCCTGAACAACTCTGCCGGATGGGTGCATTCTGTTGCCTTCAGCCCGAGCGGCGACGCTCTGGCGTTTGCGGCGCATGACTCCTCCATCACCGTCGTCTACCCCTCTGCGCCCGAACAGCCGCCCAAGGCGGTGATCAGCATCAACACGCAGCTTTTGCCCTTTATGAGCCTCTTCTGGAACGGAGAGACGGAGATCATTGCTGCGGGTTACGATTGCGAGGCCTTCCGCTTCCAGGGCGGCGAGCAGGGGTGGCAGCTGGCGGGCACGCTGGAGAAGGCCAAGGCTGGAGGAAGACCGGGTCTTGGTGACGAGGACAGAGAGGAGTCTGCGCTGAACATGTTCAAGCAGATGGATCTCAAGGGGAAGGTCAGCAAGGATGATACCATGTTGAAGACGGTGCATCAGAATACGGTTACTATGTTGAGGCCTTTTGAGGAGAGTGGTGGACGGGTGACCAAGTTTAGTTGTGAGTGTTCCCCATTTTTACATAATCTGTGGTTTCAGAAATTATTGATGCTAACTTGACACAACAGCGAGCGGTGTCGACGGCAGAGTCGTCATTTGGCACACCTAGATTTCTTCTCCATGAAAGAGGGTATAGCCGCACACCTATGGAAGCAAAAAGCCAAGCAAGCGAAGCGTAGCAGTTAATGTTAATAGAGCAAGAATGAATGGCCGATAATGAATCAGATTCAAATTCAAGATCGATCATTGTCAGTTCAGCGGGTAACTTTCCCGGTCTTTGATTTCTGCCCTATCCGTGCTTCCCGGTCTCCGCGAAAGAGATTGATTGCCCATCCATCATTGTATAGAACCCATCATGTCACTTATCAACAGTGAGCTATCCGTTTGTCATGACCGCCCGGCCGATACCGCAAGATATGTATGTGTGAATCAGACACACAGTCAAGAACAAATACAGGTTCAATACATACAAAGCGATTCATTGACTACCGATTGTGGCTTGCTGGACGCATTCCGATTTGCGGGAGGCTTGTTGATGACTTCCATAAAAGGCTTGTAAGAGACCTAATAACCGGCGGCAGGAGAAGTGCATGCTGTTAACATTCATGCCCATCTCATTGTTTTGTCCATGTCAATTATTTATTTCATGTCCTTTCGCTCCCCATCCAGACTTCATCTTCAATAGCAGTTTACCATAAGTAATCAGCCGTCCGTCACTCCGTCCCTTTCATCTATCCAAACAACTTACAGCTTACTTCTCTTTGCCTCCATCTTCCCTGCCTACTTTCTCTGATTTGAAAAGCAGCGTCACAAGCCAAACAACAACAAACTGAACCATGGATCACAACAGTTCCTACTACTACCCATCCAACCACCCCCAACACCCTCTGTACTTTAATCCGGCATCTCCAGTTCATGCTCCTCCTGCTCCTGGTCGTCCAGAACCAGAGGAACCAAAAGACTACCACCACTACGCTCCAGCATCGCCAAGCGACTTTATCTACAATTCCTCTGTCAACTTCTCTGCCAACGGCACCGCCAAAGCCACAGCTAGCACTAACATCTTTGATCGTCCCTCCCGCCCTTCTGCTTCTTCTTCTTCTCGTTCTTTGTTCTCTGTCTCCAACGAGGCGGTACTTGGTTATCCACCTGCGGGAGTAGAGTACAGCGGCGGCGGCCCGTCTACTGGGGCTGTGGAGCAATCGGTTTTGGATTACTTGGAGGTACCTGGGGTACTGGCATCAAGTCTACAGGAACCAAGTATACCACAACCAAGTCTACAGCAACCAAGTATACCACAACCAAATCTACCACAACCAGCACCAGGTTTTGAGGAGCATCGACGTCAGCGTCAGCGGCAATCAACAATGAATATGGGGCCGGGACCGTCAAAATCGATACCCCCTGCGTTGTCGTTGGGTGCTGAAAGAGGGAGTAATGCTAGTTCCAGTGAGGAGACGGTGGTTATCAAGCGGGAGGAGAAGGAGGAGGGATCATCAAGTTCGGTTCCTTGGGTGTCGATACCGTTAGGGCAGAGGGTGAAGAGGTGGGAGCCACGGGTGCCACGGGTGCCACAGGGTAAACAGGGAAAGCAGGGAAAGCAGGGAAAGCAGGGAAAGCAGGGAAAGCAGGGAAAGCAGGGAAAGCAGGGAAAGCAGGTGGAAGGAGATGTGGGGACGGACAATGGGATCAGTGGTAGTAAGACTTGGGAAGAAAGGGGGGATGGGGTGGTGGGGAGGATGATGCCGCCGGTGGTGCATAGTATGGGTGGGGGTGTGGGCAGTATGGAGATGGGAATGGGAATGGCACCAATAATAATGCCAAAGATGGGTCTGTTCAAACCCATCAGGTGGGATGGACCGTCTTCTTCTTCTGCTTCGAAGTCGAAGACTAAAGCGAGGAGGGTACGTGCCTGGGAAACCATGGAAGAACAATATGGTGATGTTCATCTCCGACGAACTCTTGAAAGCCAAAATCGACACAGAAACAGAAACGAAAGCAGCAACAGAGACCTAAACGACGAAACCGAAGACGAAAAAGGTTCTGACGCCCCCATCTCTCCCCATTCTCGCTCCCCAAAGAGACTCAAGACCTCCTCCCAATCAAGATACACCTTTCGTCCAGGTCCAGGTCCAGCAGAAACAGTCCCAACCATCAAAATAAAGCAAGAACCAGGCCTCTCACCTCCACCATCCGCTGTTTTGGGTCAGTTTCCCATATATGATTCCTTCGATTCCGCCCCAAGCAACAACAGTGGCTATGAATCCTCCGGTCTATATGACGATTTACCTTCCTCGCGAAGTATCAGCCCCTTGACTCGGGTTCCGACACCTCGTCGTGTGCTGTTCACTACTACTACTCCGAACCGGATCATGACTGGAACTAGAGAAACGGCCCAGCCTTCATTGAGGGCGGTGAGTAAGCAGTTGAAGAAGAGGAATCGGGAGATGGCGCTGGGTCAGGGTCAGGGTCGGGAGGATAATCGAGAACTGAGTCGGGAACCAAGAAAGAAACGAAAAGGAGAGGGTTGTTGGGGTTTACCTGGCGGTAGTCAAAGACAGCAGACTCACGATACTTCACTACAGCAGCAGAATAATCGAGGATCTTCCGAAGAAAGAGAAAAAGGCTGGACGACAACCATCTCAGCAGGCAGCAGTGAAGAAGGGGAAGTAAGCAGTTACTGTGAAAACGAAAACAGTTATAGCTATAGCTGTGGTCAACAGGAAAGGGATAGGGATGACGCTGCTGCTGCTGCTGCTGCTGCATCAAGTAATAATGCCCTTTCTTATACCGATCAAGAAGAAGAAGAAGAATGGTGTCGCCCTTTTTCATTTTCATCATCATCGTCGTCATCGTCGGCCGCACCCGTCTCTTTTGAGACGTCAGCGAGATATGATCATGTATCGTCGGCTTCGCAGGAGAGAAGAACAGAAGAAGAAGGATACCGGCAAGCTATTATACAAATGGTGCAAGACACTTGTCTTGAGGCTAGCAAGAGGTATATCAGGGCTCATTGCGTGAATAGGGGGGCCCGTGATGGGGGCGGTACCTCTGTCCTGTCTCGTAGGTCCGAAACTGGGACTGCTCGCAAGGCAAGAAGAAGGAGGCATAAGCTTAAATCCCGTCAGGCCTCTTCCTCTTCCTTTTCATCCTCCTCCTCCTCACCAGCACCAGCACAAGTACCTTCACGACAGCGACGCAAAGGTAAAGGTAAAAGCAAACGACAAACCCGAACCAAAAAGCAAACCACCACCACCACCACCACTCCTCCTCCCTCCGCGTGTTCTTCATCTTATCAGCAACCTCCCCCCGAAATCCACTTGAAAGACTCCCTCCTCCCCAACGTCTCCCAAATCTGCACCCTCCTCTGGTCGCGCTCGCAGTCTCTCCGACTGCACGACACCGACAGCATCGAGCTACATACCGCGCGAAACATGTACTGGCTTTTATCGTGGGCGGAAACCGTCGCTTTTGCTGTTCTTCCACCTGCTTCTTTCACTTCCACTTCCACTTCTACTTCCACTTTGACTGCCTTTACCGTCCCAGATCCACACCCAAACTCAAACCCAGAGCCAGATCCATTCGATTCAACTACAACCACATCAGTCGGTTCCTCGTTTCCCGGTTTTGGTGTGTCTTCTTCTTCTTTTTCTTCTTCTTCTTCTTCGTCTTCTTTGCGGCAGAGGAAGAGGGACAGGGACAGAGACTGGGAGTGGGAGTGGGAGGGTTTCGGGGAGGGGGTGAGTGAGGATGATGGGTATTTATGGAGGAGGGGAAAGAATAGTGAGGAGGAGGAGGACAAGGCTAAAGGAGAGTTTGAGAGCAGAAATGGGAGAGTCGCCAGGGAACAGCAACGGATAGAAGAAATGATAAAGAGGGTGTTTGACGAGGGAGGCATGCTTTGTGAGTTTCTGGGGTATGGGGAGGGGGTGGAGAGGTTGGGTAGGGTTAGGGAGTTTTATGAGTTTTGACTTGCGGTCTTTTGGGTAGTATTTCTGGTCAAGGATGGGATTTGGATATTGAGAATTGGATAGAAGAGGCTTTTTAAATACATGTTAAAAGATCGTCAGTGTGGTAAATGAAGATACTAGCCTGATGAGCATGTGTACTTCCCTTCGGGGCATGGTCCACAACGTGTTTGCCTCGTGGCTTGTTTGGTTCCTGGTGAGGAAAAGGAAACATGTCTCGTGCTGTGATTTGATAGCTTCTTGTAAGGTGTATGGTATTCCTCCAGGACAATACGTCTTGTCTGGCTTCAGTTGTTCTGGGTCAAGCTTGATGGGCCTGGTGGGCTTGGCGTGTGTGACCCTGGTTGACTCTTGTTGAAGACAAGTGTGGGTGTTATCGTACAGATCTTGATACCCTTAAGTAATGACAGTAAGGAATCGATAAGGTAGCCGGGAAGAGCGGGAATAAAATAACCAAAGAGAAGCCCATAGGGACGGATATCGAGACAAAAAAACAAAAACAAAAAAGGGGGCGCGGTTTATCGGGCACTGAAATTGGGATGGTCCACAAAGCACCTATCCAATATTGCCATGATAACCTCAACTGAGGAAGAGCTGAAAAAAGATGACCCCACTGGAGCCCACTCGATAACCCCACAACCCCACGGCGGGTAGTCGAACGCTAAGAGCGCTGCCCTGAAGTGGACCTGTCCGGGGCATGGTTGGCGGGATCCCGGGCCTTGTTACAGTGGATGTGGTTCCCCCCCCAGAATTCCCAGGCAGGGCGATTCCCCGGAAGGATGGAAATGTTCAGTTGGTTGTTCTTCATTTTTCAAGATGGTATCATCTTCGACCCCCCTTCCTTGGACCTTGTCTTTGTCACCAATGAGAGACGGACTCGCTCACCGATCACTCGCATTCCCGTATGTCCGTCCATGTTACATCCAGAAATGACCCCACGGACCGTCACCCAACAGCCCTGAGGCCGGCCGGGGGAATGATAAGCACTTCTCTTCCTGTTGTGGTCACGGCTATGTGCTACAGTAGTGTCAGGTAGTGTAAGCTTAGCTGACATTCGATGACTGCCCCTGCCTCTTTTTTTCTTTCTCTTTTTTTAATTTCTTTTTTTTCCTCTTTCTCACTCACATATTGTCCAAGTTGAATCACTACACACAACAGCCCGGACTGTCACGCGACCACAATCCACTCACCAAATCCTCCATCTCACCCGGCGACGATAGGACGAACGGTTGTGATAGGGACGCGATGATATTGGGCGCGTATCTGGTGAGAGGATGAGACCTTTACAACCTGACCAGTCGCCTTTCAACCGACAATAACGACAACAACGGAAGCATGAAACCCAAAAAGCGAGACACCATGCCCAGCGACATAGAAATGGCCGCTTACGGCAGTAGAGGTGGAGATTCCTTCGGCCAGGGAAGTTCATGGAGTTTCCGGGAACCCTTCGCAGTCGGCCGCGTCCCGACATGGGCACGCGCTCGCCATCGCCAAGAACCGAGGTTGCGAACATTCCTCGACTCGTTCAAACGAGACCCGGTCCGCCGGATATCAACACATGGCATTTATGCCCAGAGTCATCCTGATCAATACCAAGCAGCCGACTCCTCGGATGAACCTCCGACCGAGCAGAATCATGGGAGCCATTACTTTGACCTGCACGCCGCCAACGTCAGGACGGCAAACACGGGTCTGGCCCGAGAGCTCAAGGGGAGACACTTGCAGATGATTGCCATTGGTGGTTCAGTTGGTATGTCTTGTACAACACCTTACATGAAGACATGACTGACCAACATCAGGTTCCGGTTTGTTCGTGGCCTCGGGCAAGTGTCTCTACCTAGGAGGTCCGGCCGCGCTCATCATTGCATATGGCTTTGTGGGTGTCATGCTTTGGTGTACTATCCAAGCTCTTGGTGAACTGGCCGTTGCTTTCCCCGTTGCCGGTTCCTTCTCGTCATACTCTACAAGATTCCTTGATCCAGCGTGGGGTTTTGCCATGGGGTGGAAGTAAGACACTGACCCCTGAACTTTGATGATATATCGAACCTGACTAACCTCACCCCCAGCTATGCCCTCCAATGGTTGACAGTCCTACCACTCGAACTCATCGCAGCTTCCATCACCATCGGCTACTGGAACGACCAACTCAACAAAGCCATCTTCATCACCATTTTCCTAGCAACAGTCATCATCATCAACCTCTTCGGTGTCAAAGGCTATGGTGAAGCCGAATTCGTCTTTTCCATTGTCAAAATCGCCGCCGTCACCGGTTTCATGTACGTACATCCCCTTCTTATCCTCTCCAAAGCTCTCCCTAACAATACCAGCATCCTCGCCGCAGTCATCAACATCGGCGGCTTCGACGATCCCCAAGGCAACACCGGCTACATTGGCGGGCGCTACTGGACCAACCCCGGCGCCTTTCACCACGGTTTCAAAGGTCTCTGCTCCGTCTTTGTCTCCGCCGCCTTCGCCTTCACGGGTACCGAGCTGGTCGGGCTCGCCGCCGCTGAAACCGCCAACCCGCGTAAATCCCTGCCGACAGCCATCAAGCAAGTCTTTTGGCGCATCACCCTCTTCTACATTGTCTCTCTCACCCTCGTCGGCCTTATCGTCCCTTACAACCACGAGCGCCTGTTGGGAAACATCTCCCACTACTCCGTCTCCGACGCCTCATACTCGCCCTTCGTTATAGCCATCGAGTCCGCCTCCATCCAAGTGCTACCGGGAATCATGAACGCCGTCATCCTCATCGCCGTACTCAGCGTAGGCAACTCGGCCGTCTTCGGTAGTTCCCGCACCTTAGCAGCCCTAGCCGACCAGCGTCAAGCGCCCCAAATCCTCGCCTACGTCGACCGCAAGGGCCGACCCCTCTTCGCCATCCTTTTTGCAGCTTTAGTAGGCCTCATCGGCTACCTAGCCGACCTGAAATTCCAATCCGACGTGCTGAACTGGCTGCTCGCCGTCTCGGGCCTTTCGTCCATTTTCACCTGGGGCTCCATCTGCCTCTGCCACATCCGCTTCCGCCGCGCCTGGGCCCGCCGGGGCCGGTCCCTCACCCAATTATCCTTTACAGCACAGGCAGGCATCACGGGGTCGTACGTCGGTCTTTTTCTAAATGTCTTTGTGCTGATTGCCCAGTTCTGGATTGCGGCGTTCCCGATTGTCACGTTTACGGATAACCAGTCGGCGGCCACCGCGTCGCCGAGTAAAGTGGCGCAGAGCTTTTTCTTGCAGTATCTGTGTGTGCCGATTGTGGTGGCGTTTTATTTGGTGTATAAGTTGTGGTTTAGGACCAAGATTGTCAGGAGTGATGAGATGGATTTGGATACGGGACGGAGGAGGGATGTGAATTTGCCCGTGTTGGTGATGAGGGAGAAGGAGGAGGTGGAGGGGTGGCCCGGGTGGAAGAGGGTTTATCGGTTTTTTTGTTAGCCGTTTCACTGGGATTATTTGGTCTGGAGTGGTTTGATTTGTCTTGGGTTTAATGGTTAGGAATACCCTATGTATGTCTGGGAGTTTGTGTTGGAGTATCTGGGAAGGATTTGTCGGGATTATGGGACTGGGATGGGATGGGATATGAAGCGAGGCGTTTAGAGTTTGGTCCTGTTGGGTTGGGAACGAATTTGCGATGGAATTTTCAACTTTGTCAGTTCAGTACAGTTTTGATGATACCATGGCCGGGGCTTGTTAGTATACACCACTTGTAACTGTAATGGCCATGAATGGAGAAGAATGAAAAGATTCGATAATTGGCTTTTTACCTCTTATGGTCACCTACGGCATCCATCTTCGGTTCTCGGGTAGTTTCGACTTTTGCCTGTAGCCACACCTACGCTGAATCCCGAACTCGAGTCAGTTCGGTTCCGTAAGACAACGGGAGGTACTCATACACCACCGTGTTCAATGAGTCATTCCATCTTAGGCTGGTAGGTATATTGGGGTATTTCAGATATGTGCTGCCAATTTCTGGAGGAAGGGGCGATGGTGTCTTTCTGTTTAGTACAGTTCAGTTCAGTTCAGTGGAAACTGCCCTGAGACAACCATCTACCGCACGACCTAGAGGTATGGAAAACCTGAAGGGCTGCCCTATCATGGAAAAAATAAATACGCGTACTGTAGGATTTGGAGCAGCTCCTGACATGACCACTAGGTTGTCTTGCTTGGCCATATCAACTTATTGTTCGTGATAATATAAAAGTCTAGTCTTCTCAACCGGAAAGGAACAGTCTACATAACATCTCCTTTACCAACAACACTCTCTATTGGTTTCCACCTTACCTATCTACCATCCAAGTCTACCGCCATAATCCCTCAATTTCTCTCCCTATACCTCTCCCCTTCCACCCCTTCCTCTTCCTCTCCCCCCTCCTCCACCATCTCCCCCTTCCTCCTTCCAAAACCCACCAAAGTCACCACCCCCAAACAAACAGCAAACATCCCTCCGGCCACTACAAACGGCAACCCCATCCACTGCATCCCATCTTTATTCCCCTTTTGGTCCTTTCCCTCCCCAAGTCTCAACCCAACACTAAACAACTCCGCAGCCACCGGCCTCCCCGCCGACGTAGCCGCATACGTAACAACACTAATAACCGTATACAGCGTCGCGCGATGGCGAGCATCCACGAGGTTGGTAATCAGACTGCGCAAGGGGACCGAAAGTGCCGCGCCTGCTGAGTAAAGAACTTCGCCTGAGGCGAGAAAGCTGACATTTGAAGAAATGGGGAGGGAAATGAATAGGCAACCGAGGGTGAGGAGAGTGGCGAAGGTGCGGGAGAGGAGGGCGTCTTTGGCTTCTTCGCCCATTCTTGCCCAGGGATATGGCGAGGAGTGGGAGAAGAAGGTGGATAAAGAGGGGAGGAGGAGGGTGAGTGTTAGGAGGTTGGTGAGGGCGCCGAGGGAGGGGAGGAGGGAGGCCTGTTTTGGATCGTTAGTGGTTAGTGGTTAAAGGCAAAGAAGAAACAAAAAGGAAAAAAAAGGAAAAAGAGAAGAAAAGAAATAGAAGAAAAATAGAAAAAGAAAAGTACGGAAAAAAGAAAAAAGAAAAAAAGTATAAGTGAGAGGTGTAGGTAGGTAGAAGACGTACCTTCCCCAAAGACCACCCCAGCCTTTTACTCGCATACTGAATCATCAACAACATTTCCGCCTGCTCGCCCATATAGTACAACCAGAAACAAAGCAACAGCAAAACAGCCTTGGGGTTCTGCAAAGTCCACGTCCCTGCCTCCTTTGCCTTTTCCAAGTACTCTTCCACAATCTGACTGACAGTCTTGGGCTTCGTGATCATTTCTGTTTCCGTTTCCGTTTCCGTATCCCCACTATTCCCTCCCTCTTCCCCTCCATCTCCATCTGCACCAATCACCAACTCACCAACCCCTATCTCCGAAGAGTCAATATCAGAAGAGGAAGGCAAAGTCTCTTGCACAAAAACAACAGCAACCACGTACCCCACCGCCTGAACCAAAAGACCAATCCACATGGCCAGCCACGCATCATCATAGGCAATCAAAGCACCGCCAATAGGCACAAAGAGAAACCGCGAGACGATGGACGCAGCAAGCAGGTAGCTGAAGAAGGTGGAGCGTTGCTCGGCGGGACAGACGTCGGCGATGAGGACATAGATAATACTGGTGAAGGTGGTGCTGCCTGAGCCGAGGAGTTGGAAGAGGCCGCCGAACCAGACGGCGCGGATGGGGAAGAAGGTGGGGAAGTAGTCTTTTTGGGGGTGTTAGTTTTGTGTATGAAATCGTGTATGAAAAGATGGGTAAGTAATGGGGAAGGAATAGGGACGAGAAAACGTACAGACGAGACGAACCCATGCTTCGTTTAGTAGACACCCGGATAAAGCGAGGAGCAAGACTTTTTTGCGTCCGATGCGGTCGGTCAGGATGCCCCAGGGGATGGCGAGGGCGACGGCTGGAGTTTTTGATGAGTGTTGTTAGTGTTGTGTTTTGTTTTGTTGGGTTGTGTGTAAGTGATCTAACGATTATGCAGCATTTTTCTTCTTATGTTCATGATATCCGACTGGTTTTATTCACTCTTCCATCTTCTCTGCCCTTTACCCTTCCCACCCTCTTCTCTCTCCCTCTCCGATTCTTCTTCTT